GATAGTCCTAAAGGTTTTCTTTTCGACGCAAAACTTCTGCGGTCAGCGGTCAGCGGTCAGCGGTCGCACTTAAAAAGGATGGCGCGCAAATCGTGCGATTGTGCCATTGTCAACCCAACAGTCTGATCGAAATAAATTTTAAAAAAATTGTTAATTTTTTGGTTACGACTGATATGCGCAGTTTTCATATTTACTGAAAAACTTATTGGAATCTACATCTTCTTACTTGCGATGCAAGTTTGTGAAAACAGGCCGAGTAAAGCGAATCAATGCAATCCTGAGATTTCGGACTCTCAATTAAATACTGTACTAGTTTTAAACCTTGCTTTAATTGGCTAAAAATTCCTTTCACAGCTGCCAAAGAAACGCCCAGAACGCTTTGTTCCATCATACGGCGTTCGTCGTCCCATTAGGAAGTTGAAAGTTTCCGAGGCCCGCAAGCGACCCTTAACATCCCAGGGTTCTTGCGACCAAATCTTTGAAAACATTCATCAAGAATTCTCGACTTTGAGCTACCTAATGGGCGGTAAGGTGTTTCCCGATCCTGAACTGGTGTTTAAGGCTTTTGAAAAAACTGTCGAAGGTATGTAAATCATGACTTTGCCCTTTTATACACTATAGTTATCAAAGGCCTGATGCGAGGTTTACGGTAACTATATTTGGACTTGTTTTCGTGTTAGATTTGAGCTACTGTCATAAGCTTAAATGGTGGTAAAACCTTCAATGTTGATATCCTCGTTCCTTTGATTAGAAAATCTCACTTCCTTCGTCAATCTTTTTAGCTCGTCCTTATGAAGAAACTGCTGCAAAGAGACCTGTGAGTGCACTGCCTCCCTGCGTCGTCTATGAAGGTTTGAAAGATACCTACGTCTTGAGTTGTTTCCACAACTAATAAATTAATTTATAATGATGTGTGCACAAGCAAAATGATGTCTATATTTATCCAAAGCTGTCTCTCTTCAGGCCTTCACGATCACGGCTTTCACCTCTTTATTATCGACGCAGAGGAGTACAGCAGGGCACTAGAGTCCTCGGAGTAAGTTTATCTTTGTTTTGTGTTGTTTTTTTTTCAGGAGATGGCACTTTCCTCGATCATCATTCAAATATTATGCTTTAGAGATTAATGGAAAAAAGAGCGATAAAAATTGTGATAATAGCCAGATCTAAATGTTAGCTTGACTGAATAAATGAGTTCAAAGTTTACTTCATGCTAGCTCGTGTCTTTTAATGCTTGCAATGCTCGTTTTGTTTTGCAGCTCCATTGTGGACGGTATTTGCGCCGTGACGGGAGACGGAGAGTGTGTTATTGTATTTCAGCAGCATGATTTACAAGTGGCATACCTCCCGAACCCGCATGGCTACGCCTGTGATCTCTTCAATAACCTGTGTACTCGGTAAGAGAAATAGTGTCAAACTCGTTCCCAGATCTTCTCTTGCTGTCTGAAAGTTCGAGAGAACCCTTGAAATTGGGTGGGTTTCTGTTATGATACCGAAACCATAGGCCTGATCGTGTTTACGGGATAGGAAATCCTCACAGGATCGAATTCATTTTGTTATATATCGATGGATACAACTTTTGTGTTTACTAATAGAGCGAGAAGTTCATTCACCAATCTCCTAGAAAGTTTGTTGAAAAACATTTCCTAAAAGTAACGACACATTCCGTTATAAATCCAACTCATTTTTAGACAAAATTGCATGCTACTCATCAGTTTCGGCAACGAAAAACAAAATATCAGATGCTCTTTAAAGAACCAAGTTGTTGAGTTGCGTCCCACGTAAGTTTCATATTGCATGATATTTATAGAGATTCAAATTGTTGAAGTGATGCATGATGGCAAACATAATGGCCACTATCGTCACCTCAGTATAAATTCCTTAACAGAATCATAACCACGATACTACGGCACGTTTTTACATGCCCAAATTAATAATAATGCGTTTTCTTTTACATTGATTTCACACAGACTTGGCGACAGACTCCAGAGGCTTGTTTATTTCCAACCGTCATGGTATGTCCAGGTCTGCCTGGACATACAATCAAGAACAGGCCGCCACTTTTTCAGGTGAGATAACGCAGAGGTTTGAACTAATTTGTTAGTTACGATCTTGTGGTGGTGTTTAATCACTTAAGGAAACACAAAGATTTAATGCGCTGAAGATTTGTAGATGTTCGGAAACTTGTCGCATACTCTCTGAAATTTGTGGACTTCTAATCTATTTATTAATTGTCTGAGGGTCTCAGTTGAGTAATGGTTTCTACGACTAATGGTTAATTTATTCCGAAGCAATTAAAAGGGGTTAAACTACAGAATTTAGGGCCACTTATTTACATCTAACAGAATCACAATACATCCTTTTGTGTTCTGCCTCGTTCTTCAAAGCATGTCGATAAGGTGGACCCCTGTGGCCGTTGTATTGTTTAGTTGCTTGAACCCCACTGGGCCCTTTGTTTGTTTAACAATCCATCTATTTGTTATTTTACTTTTACTATCTCTTAGTGAGACGGCCATGTCCAAGATGACATTTACAAGCGACCGAGCTCAATTCGCCAAGTTGACAGGTGCAGTAACCGCTATCATCTGAACATTCATGATAAAAACTGTATTTTGCGACCCTTTCACTCCCATCAGCAGTTAGGCAAATTATCATCACTATTGCGGCTGAAAGGAATAATTGTTAAGGGGTTTGGGAGTTCAACCTTTTGTAACCTAACACAACTTGTTAATTAACCTGAATTGTTTCTTTCTCTTTCAGGTTTTCCTGGTGAGACTAAACTTAATTAAATTTAAATCATTCTTAAGGGCGGGGTTGGAATATCAATTAGTAATACTCCATGGTAAGCGTAAGTCAGTTAATTAGTGCATGAAAAGGGAAAATTAAAATGGTTTCAAAATAACAAATAGTTTAGAAAAAGTTGCCTGAAGTGGACCTGAATATCAAACTGGAAAACTAATTCTTATCCATCTGAAAACTGACCTATACTTCAAGAGTATTACTATTTATCCATTTTAGATCAGTGTATTCTTTGGTAAATTCTATTATTAGCTTTATTGTGAGGTATTGCTGGATTCATGTCTTTTCTGTCTACTAAGCAGGTTCTATTACAGCCCTTTGTTTCGAATTGGACTCAATTCTGTTTGGTGTCTATTTCACTATGATTGGCATAAATCTTTTACAAATTGGCAGATCTATTTTTTTACAAATTGGCAGATCTATTTTGGTTGATTAGTCACCTTGTATAATGAATTACTTTTTGAATCAACGTTTCTCTGGTTTTATGATGAAATTTATAATTAGAATTGGCCTTTATTTTCAATTACAGTGTTCTTTATATGGCTAAGTGCAGTGCTGGAACAATAAATTATTTTTAAAACCAATATTGCTTGTGTCGTGGTATCTTTATAGTAGGGTGTATGGTTAATGAGTTATGCTGAAAAGTGGGGTCACCTAGACAATGAAATAAATCATATAAGGAGTGCAAATTATAAATAGCACGCGCGTGATGCCAAAATTTTGTCTGTCTAGACTTTCTTGATGCTTTTTTCATGCAAATCATTAATAAGTTACTACATGATTTCTCGTGCAATTTGGTTTAAACAAGCCCTTGTAAACTTTTTAAAAGACTACAAATTGCACTTGCCCTACGGACTCATGCGATTTTGTTGTCCTTGAAAAATTTACTCGTGCTTATTAACACCAAATTGCATACGAAATCAGAATATTATCTATACTGAGTACAGAAAAAACGCACTAAATTTAGTGGAATGCATTAGGTTTCAAAGGAGAACGTATTTTGCACTGGCATGTTGCTTAGTTTGTGCGAGCCCTAATGCACTCATATGAAAGAGCATGCATTGCTTACTCGATGTAGGAGATCGTATTGCTCAATTTTTTCATGTGTACTGATGCACTGGAGCTCGATGCGTTGGTGTACCTTGGCGGAAATGAGGGTAAAGTAAACGCAATGAAAATATTGCCCACTTTAAATGTAAAGCGCATTTCTCGCTTAAATTAAAAGAATGGTTGAAATGAAAAAAGACTCATTTTGTGTTTGCTCGTATGATTTTGACCTAATGTAGTCGATGTAGGAGATCGTATTGCTCAATTTTTTCATGTGTACTGATGCACTGGAGCTCGATGCGTTGGTGTACCTTGGCGGAAATGAGGGTAAAGTAAACGCAATGAAAATATTGCCCACTTTAAATGTAAAGCGCATTTTCTCGCTTAAATTAAAAGAATGGTTGAAATGAAAAAAGACTCATTTTGTGTTTGCTCGTATGATTTTGACCTAATGTAGTCCCCGTTTTCACCGTAGAGCAATGTTCGCTCTGACAAAGCGCTGACGTTCGAAGCATCAGCTTCAGAAATTCTTTACGATGGTCAATTTATATTATTATTATTATAAACTCAGTTAATAAAACAAAATTATCTCGTTCCCACCTACGCAACACCACAGTTTCTTCAGAAACTTACCCTCTTTATTCAGTTGCAGCCTTATACCAAAACCTAATCTGGCTCGATCGATTTCCAAAAATCTGCGCGCTGATGACAAATTATCGCCGAACTTGTCCAAGTTTTTTCTGGACCGAGAAATCGACTGGGAAATCGAATATAATCCAATAGATGTCGAGTCATCCACGATCGTGACTTCCCCGTGGTTATTTTAAGAATTTCTGATGTTTTGTTTGTGTGTGAAGTGAAAAAGACAGATTAGCTGTAATTAACATACAAGGTGAACATTATTCGTTTCTTTATTCCGCAGCTCACGGTGGGGTACGTGCTGGTCTTTTTCTTACACAAATGCGCTACTTATGTACTTTACATAACCACCCACTTAAAGGGCACTGGCCCAGAGACAATTACCTCCTGCTTGTTACCTAGGTACCACCCCATTGCAAAGATAAAGTTACTTAACCTATTTACCAATTAGAATACTCTATGAATTTAAGAGACCTTGAAGCGAAAAATATGCTAATATGGACTTCATCACCCACCGTCTCATCGAAGAGACTTGAATGATCAATGAACTAGAGAATCTTAAAACAATTGCAACTTCAAGCTGTTGTCTGTCGTTTGATGAGAGTAAGGCGGTTGTTTCATATGGGTACATCAAAATCAGTTGATAAAAGAAAATAAAAAAGAATTGCCTGAGTCAACAATCTCAGCTTCAAGCCAGACAAGCGGCCAATTTTAGACTGCAGTGAGCGGTAAGTTTCTTTTTTTCGCATTGACCTGCATAATTGTTACGCTTATACCCGTATTAGTGCTGTGTCACTTGTCGAAAGATGAATTTGTTGGAAGATGATGAAAGTTATGTTTTATTTAAGAATGCCCTTTCACAGCTGCCGTTTTTGAAATGTTTTGCTTTTATTGAAAATGATAACGGCAACTGCTTGTGGGCAAAATAATGCCTGATTCTGTCATTGTTTACCAAAGAAATGCTTCCTGTCAAGAAGTTTCACATATTCGCGTTGAAAGTCCAAGGAGAGGGGAGAGGATTACTGAGCCTTGATTGTTTTTTCTTCTCTTCGTATGTGATAAGACTTAAACCTCATTTAGAACGATCATCCGCTTTCATCGTAATTTATTTATCTGCCTTTGCTTCAATTTATCTTGTTGTTGTGCTGCTTTCAATTGGTTTTTTCTTTTTTCTTTGGAAACCAACCGAGATTTGTGATCATATCGCTGTTTCGCGTGAGTCTATCAATGAGATTTATCTTCAGCCAAGCTCAGGAAAGCACTTTGAGGTTTTGTGTTTATCGCGTGAAGAATAGATAATGGTAAAAACAGCTCACGGCGATGTAATATTTAAGTGAAACCCCGTTCTGCCGACAATCCTTTTAATTTCCTACTTGAAGAGCTAGCACTCTGTTGTAAGTTTACCATAGATCAGGATTACCTAAATCCGAACTGACAAATTTCACAACAACTTTCAAGCTTTTCTTAAAGCGATCTTTACGGTGTTAATCTCTGGTTCTTTGTTTTGTTTTAAGCTGCTGTTTTGCTGTTTTAAACATGTAGATGGTGACAGAAATTAACAAATAAATCTTAGAAGTATGTACACCCATCACTTAGTCTTTCTTATTACGAGTGGCTAGTTAAGGTTGATTTGAATAGCTACAAAACTACTTGCCGAACTTCGCCTCAATTAATTCTGTTAAATTTTCGGCTGTTTGATGCATGAAAGATTTCTTTCCCTCTTGGAAGTAATTGTTGATTCTTTCAAATAAGATAAGAATGTAAGTTTCATTGAAATGACCTGCCATAAAACTCTGTGTAACGTGATGAATTCTTCGCCTTGATCTCGTTGCCAGTAGTCACCATCTATATTATGAGCATAATTGAACACTGTGCCACTTGCAAGGCTCAAAGCCTGCTTTATGACCCATTATTCCGTGCTTGAACTAAACAATGGAAATTATTCTGTCTATCGAGTTTTGCTCAGGTATGCCATAATTTTACATGAAACAACGGCTTTTCCATTACGACTTTTAACGACTTTATTCAAATAATCATCTGCAGCATGCAGAGCTCAGAACGTCAACTTGATTTCAGTCTGCTCAACCGAGAGCTCAAGCTGTGAAATAATAGTGCAAAATACATTTTATCATCCTGCCTGAGGTATTTGCATTAATCAAGATAGATGGACTGATTCAAGGAAAAGCAAATACGACAGCTTTGCCAGCAGAAGTTAGAAATACAATTTAAACGACAACCAACAGAGACAATCAGTAATACACACCGTTTCTTCGAAAATATTTGATTAACCCGCTGTTTAATTACCACCGTGACCGCAAACGGTCTTGATAATTACTTCAGCCTCACCTGTCTTACCGAAACACTATTTGACGGATCGTTTGCAAGACTGCCGTAGTTTATTTAGGCCTTATTTCAGTCCTTACTCAACTCAGTGTTAATACTCTTTGGGTTGCTGGAGTTCGTAGGCCATTGAATTCACATTTACAAAAAAAATGATTAAGAGCCTATTAGCACATGTTGTTTTGTAGAAGTCTCACGGGAGATTTGTTTACTTAGAGAACATTATCTTTAAACATTATGTCTCTGTTTATCAACGAAACTAGAGAAAGTAAATTATTCCTTCGTTCGACTCCGAGCTTTTACAATGATAAAATCAAGCTCCATGCGGTTTCTGTTCGGTACATACAACTTCAACTAGATATATCAGAATCCAAAATACTAATTGAACTTTTTTAAAGCCTCAAGCGCTCTATTCTTTTGTTTTAATGCTGAAAAAACGCTTTATGTAAGTGCCAAATAATAATGATTTTTTTTAATTTGTCATCGTTATCATTATTATTATTATAGTCATTGATATATTTACAAAGAGTCGTAAAACGACTGAAAAAGTTAGCCTTTAAGCGTATAAACCGACAAATGTTAACCGATAGTCGTGAAATATTTAACCATAAAAAAAATTCTGGTGACAATAATGGAATGATATTAACCGTAATCCGTAAAGTGGCCAAAATTTTAACCGTCAGCCGTGAAAGCCATCACCTATTTATGCAGCTGTCGTCAGTGTTAATGTTGATGATGTGATAATAATAAGGATGACGAATACGCTTGCGTCTTTGTTTTATGGATCGGTTTTATTCCTTTTCTTGCCTTTGCTGCCATTTGTCGACGCCACAGACGTGATTCAGAAAGTTTTGTTGGAGAGAGGCTGGAGGATCCTAACTTTGATAGAGAAATAAGCTACGAAATATTTTTAAGACAACTAATTTTAAATACTTTACATTAGTAGTGACATAGAATATTTTCTTTGTAAGATAATGGTTTTAGGCCATTAATAAAAAGACCCACAGGTCTACTAGGAGGAGGGAGGGGGGGAAGGGGGGGGGGGGTTCAGACTTTTCTGGACTCGCCACTGCGCTAAAGATTTCTTTTTATCAATGTTCTGCCTTTTTTTGGGCAGCCATTTTCCGTGATACTTGTATCATGCTTATTTTAGATCAACACTGCTTCTGTTGCATAACCCTTCATATGGAAATGAGTTTTGCTGACAACTGTCTTGGTATGCAAATCAAAGTTGTCAATTTTATGAATGAATCCCTGCTGAGATGTGGTTTGAAAATTAGTTGAAATACACATGGAAACGTACTGTTTACTTTCTGTGGAGCTAATATATTGTAATTAAAGTTCGACTTAGGCATTGGATAGTATAAACATTTCATGGCAGACTGACAATTCTGACGTCGTTTGAAAATATGAAATCTATCAACCTTCATCAGATAAAACGGTCTGCATGAAAGGATAGACGAACATCACTTTTGCCGAATATTTTGAAAAAATCCTGTTTATGCATTATTTTCTGATTATAAAAACTGTGTCGGTGTTACACAACTAAACGATGGATAGCTGAGTAGAATAATTAAACTTCACGCCATATTTATTAGGGTAAGTGTCATACTGGAACTAATTTCATTGATGGGCCTTGCAAGTGGTCTGACAGTCGCATGATCATCGAAGGGTCTCAACTTTATGTTGATAGCGAGCTATCAAAATTCAGAGTATTATTAAAGAACGAATGGAAGGCTGACAATTGAAATTCGGCGGAAAAATCATAAGTTGGAGAACTCGCTCGGTGTGTTTAATCTCTTCGTTGATTACAAACCATGGAAAACAAACACTCTACCGAAACGTGACGATCGTGAAATAAATAAGTTTCTAATATGTGAGTTGTTTTATTACTTACCATAACTTTGTTTGGCTGAATTTCAAACTCGATATACTTATATATAGACCTAAAAAACTTTACTAAAACGAAATTTTTCCATATCTTTCTCTTCATAAAGTAACGGAACTTTCTGTAAGACCTTAATTAAGTGCACAATGGTTTCCTTCAAGTGATTCAGTCAAATTTCATTAAAATTTATTCAAATAATTTTCTTTATCCTGTTAGGTGCACAAAATTAAGACCGGACCGCCGCTGCATTAGGCTGGTTGTATGTTCTGTTGGTTGTATGTTCTGCTGGTTGTATGTTCTGGCCTTCTTTCCTTTTACTTTCCTCCTCAACGTTTTTTTGCGTTTCGTTATTTCTTACTGCAGACGTCAGGGGTCCATTTGAAGGTTACCCTCAGCCAGTAAGGTTTAACACTTATGGGGTTATAATTTTTCACAATAGAAATAATATCATTTGAGAATAAAGCAACTGAAGTTGATTATTAGTTAATTCATCGAGTTTCTCGCTTTTTCGACAAGCAAGATTGATTAATCTTTTCTATTTTACTTCCAAGAAAAATAGAAAAAAGGCTTTTAAATTTGCAAACAATCCGGAAATGTATTTGGTATGTCTTGCTTTGTTGTTCCCAATCATGCAATCAGAACCATTTATTTCCCTTCATCAGAGAAAAAACTAAACCAATCATACCTTAGCCAATCACACTTCGCACCCTGCACACATCTTGCTTGTTTCTTATCTTGAGTTCTCTTTGTCTCCTAGTGATGTTAACCTGGTACTTATTGGCTGATGTGATTTCTTTAGTTGTGGTTTAACACCACCTAATAGAAAATCATTTGGTTCATTAGTCGCGATAATCGCCCTTAACCGAACAAATATATCCACTGTGAAAAACCTCCCACCGGACAATGGATAATGTGATAAGTTTTTCCGTTTAGACAGGCAAGCTTTTAACAAACCCTTTAGTAATCGCATTTTTTCCATTTTGTTTTCTTTCGAACAGAATATCAAACTAGACCTGCGTTTATCATGGGGAGCCGCCTATTCTTGGCCTGTTTATTAATTGATTGCGTCGTGTCGAAGAAAATTCACTTTGGTGTCATATTACCAACGTCAAGACCTGGATTTTACGAGCTTGGTAAGGCGTTGGAACTAGCTGTTCAGCCTGCCATTCAAGATATTTACGATTTCAACAGGTTATCACGTGATTGGAACATAACTTATTCAGTCGAAGACAGTGGATGTCACAAGCTGAAGGCAGTGGGTAAAACTTATGAACTTCGCAATGCCGATGTCTTCATCGGGCCTGCGTGCGGTGATGAGTGTTTGTCAGCGGGTTTACTGACTACATATTGGAATAAGCCAATGATCTCATATTCGTGTTCCCCAACGGAACTCAGTAATCGCTATTTTTACTCCACATTCGCGCGGACACAGCCCTTCAGTAGGACATACCTCCTGGAAACCCCAAGGTTTCTTTACGAAGCAGTAAAATTCTTCAGTTGGACACGCACCGCCATAATTTCCACCGAGGACCCGACTTGGGCGCCAATAGCCATCGCCTTGTCGGAGTATTTGTCCCAAAGGAATGTCACAATACCTTTCAGTAGATCTTACATGCTCAGTAAGACATTTTCGTACAAGGAATTTCTGAAGCCAGTCAAAGAAGTCGCACGAAGTAGGTATTCTTTGTTTGTTTGCCTGTTTTCTTGGTTGTTTGTCTCTGATAAGTAATCACCGAGGAAATGCCTGAATGAGTGTGCGGTAGCTCAGAGGAAAAATAAGGTCAATGGTCAAATATCTGAGATCAAAGTTTATTGAAACGCATTTTTATCACGGTGCTCATCGAGATTTGAGCTTACTTGATCTTCCAATGAGTAGTCAATCAAGGTTCTCTTGTGACCATATTATTAATGATTAATATTAGTCAGCGAAACATATCCGTATTAATAAACTATTCGGGGAAAAAAGGAAAATGAGTGAAAGCACAGCGAATGATTGAGAAGAGTGAACAAGAAGCTGTCTGACAGGGAAACACCGCCAAGCACCCTTATTTCTTTTTTTCAGAGAGCGATTCAGAGTAAAGGTCGTTGAAGACTGAACAACGCCCACCCCCCTTTTCAGCACCCACTTATCCCATCCCTCTCTTAGACAAATGAATAAAGGGGGTAAGTTTCTAAAGAAACTGTGGTGCTGCGTCGGTTGGGGAGTGTAACAGGTAATTTAGTGTTAATAACTGAGTTGAAAACATAAATTGGCCACTGTAAAGAATGTAAAGTCTAAACACTTAAAGGTTACACACTTACACTCTTTACCGTGGCCAATGTACGTTTTCAACTCAGTTTTTGACACAAAATTACCTCTCTCAGACACGTGACTCTGGAACAATTTCGTCCCTAGGGTCTCTCTTCATTCTCTTCGTACCACCAAATGATGCAAGAGGAAGGGTCTCTCTCTCCCGAGGGAGGGGGGGGGGAAGAAGAAGAAAAGAGTTCCTGGGAACCAGGAGGTTTTCTTTTCTGGACGTAATCGTGCATTTGGGTCCATTTGACGTACTTCATGTTGTTTTCTTTTCTCTCAGTAATCTTCCTCCTTTCCTTCAATAACGAGGTCGCCAGGCTTCTCGAGACCGCCAATGAGCTGGGAATGATGAATGGCGAGTATGCCTTCGTCACGCTTGATTTCACCATCGACAGTCATTGGATCTATGAGTCTTGGGCTGGTGGGAGGAGCAAAGAAGAGTTCACCGCACTGTTTGATGGTATTGTAAATCTGTCGGTGAAGGGGCCGCATGGTGATCGTTATGACAAGTTTGTAAAGGAGTTCAGAGAGAAGCTTAAGGCCAATAATGTATCTGAAATAGCAGTTGTAAGTATTGCAATGAATTGCTATCAGATATGTAGATGATACACGGTTATTTGCAATTTAGAATTCAGGAATACTGGCGAATAATGATCGAGCCATGATGTAGCTAGAAAAAATATACGAAGCTTTTCTTTGCAGCCAAGGTTAAGAAGTTTTTGGTATATAACAAATCAGTTCGCTGCCATGTTTTAGGATTTTCACCTGGAATGTCCTAGCAGAGCTTGTTGCCGGAATATGTTCCTCTTATAAGCGATCCTTGTATAAGAAGCACGAATTTGTCACATGGGTCGACCTAGTGTGAGAATGAAGCCTTTAATTTCAGTTCTAGCGGTCGCTTATTCAAATTTTCGGCCAAAAGGGGAGGGGGAAGTGCTTATTGGAAGGAGGGTACTTAATCGAGGGGGCGCTTATCATTCTCTTGTACTGATTCAGCTGTAGGGAAGTTGAGACAAAAAAAAAGTGGCGACAGAAAGAGGTTTTCCATGTATACCTACTCTTTAAGAAATTAAGGGAGGAGGAGGGATGTTTGAAATTACTGGGGTAGGAGTAGGCGCTTATTCGGGGATGGACGCTTACTAGAGCGTGGGCGCTTTTTCGAGGAAATACGGTGATCACTCTCATGATAACAGACCCAATTGGACTCCATCCGGTCCTATTAAGGGACCTATAAGCATTATACATTGCACCCTTCTATGTCCTTCTGTACCTTTATTAACTGGTAGAACTTGTTTGAATACGTTATTCTTACAATCAACAAGCGTGAGTAATTCAATTGCACATTTTTTCATGCATTTTCAGACATATTCATTCTCTGCATATCTTCACGATGCAATACAAGTTTACGCCATTGGTCTAAACCGATCGCTGAGTTACGGAGGGAATATCTCTGACGGGCTGTCAATCATAGGAAACGTAACCAACAGTGATGTACTATTCAAAGGTATCTTTCTTCTTCGTATAACAGTTTTTACGAAATGGCCCGACACGAGTTCAATATGCTTGGACGCGGCAAGGAAACTGAGTCTAGTCACAAGGTCGAGGCTCAAAGGAAGACTTTCCGTGAGAAATAGTGTGAAATAACAAAGTCTCCTTTGTTTTAATTCAGGTGTGTCGGGAGATGTTTCCATCAATGCCCAAGGTAACCGTGTACCAGTGTTCGTTTTCAGCAACAGGCAAAATGGAATCGCTGTTCCTATCGTGGAGATTGAAGAAACGAACCCAGGCAACCAAAATATAACATCTTTCAACGTGACGACAATTTGGCCGGGCGGAACAACCGTTGTACCACGTGATGCACCCGTTTGTGGATTCCGAGGAGAAGAGTGCGTGTCATCTCCAGAGGGTATGTACAAAAGAACGTGATAAATACCCCTTTCACACCAGCAGAACAAATTTCAGTCAACCTATGTTTAACTGAGTGAATAGGTGAGCTGAAAAGCTTACTTTTACGTTGGGTTCAAGTAGTCACTGAATTTTAATTTCAGTGTATTAAATTTGAAGTCGAAAAAGATTGGTTTAAGCTGCTTCGAAGTAGAAAACAGTTTTGAACCATGTTGAACAAAATAGCTTTAATACATGTTTAACCTTTGGTGCGGATGGAGTTTTAGTCGATCATAAAAATATGGTCATGGTACAAAAGCAAAAGAGAAAGAAAACCGAAATGGCAAGAACCTAAAGAAAGTTTCGAGGCCACTGTTAAGAGAGTAAGTAGGATTCTACTGTAATTTCAGTGTTTTATAACCTAGCATGGTTTGTTGGGAAAAAAATCTGCTGGAGGGGGGAGGGGGGGGGGGGGGGAAGAGAAAAGAACGAGACATGTTCACCATAAGATATCGAGCTATTTCATGTTGCTGAATGTAACTGTTTCCGACTTTTAATAGCATCTATTTGTCTTCTCGTTTTTCTGTAGAAAAAGAAGAATCATTCAACTATCTTTGGCTTTTGACCCTGATTCTGGTGGTGCTGGTCATAGTTCTTCTCTTTGGCTTCCTGTACTACAAGTAAATCAACATGAATTTCATAACACTATCGATCACATTCACATTCCGGGCAAACGGTGTTCTTCTTAGTACCCATTTGATTGCCCAGATCATCCTTATCCTGTGGCGAATTCAGAGGATGGGTCCAAAGGGATTCCACCCCACTCCTCCCCCCTTACTTCAGACCTGTCGTTTTCTTTACGATTTGACAGACAATAAAATCCTTGCAACGACAGGATCGCATATCATCACTTGGCAGACAGATTTACTTCTTTTACTATTATAAAACACGCCTAGTGTGAAATACAACTTACTAAATTTTTAGTCTGCCGTTGCTTCTTCTTGCAAAGCAGAAGCATCGAGTGACCGGCGTTCACATAAAAGTTATCTCAGCTCCGCTTTCTGAAGATAAATCGAAATGTCGACAACTTGGCCCTTAGCATCGATAATTCCAATCATTTAAAAAGAGGCTCTCGTAAAAAAAAAACAACCACAAAAATATAGAAATAAACAAAAACACGTGACAGTTTTCATCAATTATCCTTGCTAAGTTTTCTGGACAATAAGAGCAAGAACCATTTCGTTCATTTAGAGAAAGCCTTAGTTGACTAACAAACACGACCTTTTAAACTTTCAAATGCCCCGAATGTAACTCTTTCTAGATTATTGCGGCCCTTGCCCTCAGTCTTTCAAGTCCAATAAGTTCATCATTGACTTCAATCTTTCTGTTTATAGGAAAAAAGTTTACGAAAGGGATCTCATGAATACTTCGTGGATTATTGATTACAAAGACATCGTGTTATGTAATCCGGGAAGCCGAATGTCCAGCAAAGTAAGTTTGTACAGTATAACTATCTTTTTTATTGACTTACAGTATCCTATTTTTCTCCCCTTTTTTTTTTAACCTACCTAAATTATAAAACTGTATCATGAGGTAATTTTGGCTTGAAATCGCATCTGCCTTTATTTAAAAAATCGCACGCTAGAATTTGAACCTCAAACACCTCTTTAGACGAGAACCACATGATCACCCTTGAATTTATTCAGCGATTAATAAAGAAGATTGTTTAGAAAACCTAACATTTTTCCTACACATACACGCGCAAGATACAATGTGAATGAGACAAAACATTCTTTTGTTTGAATCAAGTCTTCTAGATCTGCGGGGTATTTTAGAACATAAGTACGAGATAAACCGGAATATATTTGTTTTACTGTAAAGGAAATTGTAGTGTTCCCCTTAGCCGTTTTTTGGTCCCGTCATGAAACTGCTCTCTACAAAGGACAAAACGCGCTGCGTGACGGGGCCGAACAACGACGTCGAAGGAAACTGTAGCTGTTTATACATCACGAAAACTTCAGCTCCAAAATTTGAACTAATCTCAGGTTAGCTGAGTTTAAAGCCTGGTTAAGAAGCTGTTTGTCTATGAATGAGCGCACCCGTTGCCTGTTGGGGTAATGTGTGATTCTTAATTCACTGTTCCTCTCTGTTTAACCATTCCCAGATAAGAGCAGGCCCTGCTGCCACTGGCTCGATCATTAGTAACGTGGGAGGTGAATATAGCTTTAGCCTCGCAAATGTTGGCCGATACAAGGTAAACGGGGTTGCTCAGGGTTTCACATGATGCCCAAAGCAAAATCAATCATAAATCTTTATGCCCTGAGTATCATGGATTATGTCATGTGACTGAGTTATATTAAATCGAAGAGAAGGAAAACCGGTGTATCGTCAAGTAATGGAAGATGTTATACATGTGTTGCGAGACAAACGTGTAACACCTTTTCACAAATGAAAAAAAAACTAGCTGTCGCACGTTTCCTTGTAAATTTGTTAGGAGAATTTGGTGTTAGATCAAGGTAACAACCTCTGCCTGATAAGTTTAAATATTCTCATCACCGTTTGTTGGATATTATATGGAGAAGTTAAATGTCAATCACTTCTGGGAGTCAAAGGGTTCAAATTTTTGTATATACTTCCAAATTCTTTTCCAGGCCGAGTTGGTGGCTTTGAAGCGAATAAGGAAAAACAACATAGAACTGAAACGAGAAGTTTTCGTAGAAATGAAGCAGGTATGTATACTTCGTCTGTTACCGAGCTTCTGGGCTTTTCGGTGGCTGGAGGACGAGAGGGTGGCAAGGAGACTGGAGAGGAGTGTAATTGCGATCCAGAGCTTGCGAAGTACTCTTCACACGACCCTGCTGCAATCCTGCTAATTTAGGAATTTATGCATAATGAACAATAATATCTTTCTTTATTTATTCCACCATCAATCTTACAAACTTCACAATCAAAATACAGTCCGGTATCGTGCACTTCAAAGAGCTATACAGTTTCATTCAACACTAGCGTCATGTTCTTCCGCCCTCATTTTTATTATAACTTTCTCTTCCGATTTTTTGCAGGTCCGCGATCTTATGCACGAAAACATCAATCAGTATATTGGAATGTGTGTTGAATCTCCAAATGTATGTATTGTGTCTATGTTCTGCAGCAGAGGAAGTCTTCAGGTAACTGATATAAAATTTAAACTAAGTTATGTACTATTTTTGTATTCGGATGCCACCTTCGTGAACCCAACTATTATTGGTTGAAAATTGAATTAACGCAAAAAAAACTCTAAATATCATAAGGAAGTTACTTCGCGGGAGGCTTCGCAGATTTTCCTAAGGTTTACATCTGCAATCCTTGTTAACCTTCTACATATATAAGTTAAATATCCATGCTTTCATGTGCTTTTCTACTTTTTACTTATACGTCGATTTTAAGTGACATGTCTTATCAGATGTAGTAAGTTTCTGTTCGACACAACCTTCCCTAATCTGCATCATGACTTGAAATTGTGAGGTTTTTAATTTTCTGACTTTTTACATGGAAAATAGGGCCTAACATGGTTTTGCAAGTGACCATAGATGTACCTTTATACCCACACAGCTCCGCGTGGTTACTTCCTCTAGGATAGAGGCTTGTTTCAGAACAAAATCGACTGATAAATAATCGAAAATCACTTTAAAACGTTGAAAATACTGCATTTAATGTAAATTTTAGTTAAAATCTCAGCTGGACGATCAAACCTCAACAACGTCCTGTACTTTCCTTTTATCTTTTTATCTTTGTTTGGTAATTGTATAATTATCATTCACAGGATCTTTTGGCAAACGATGATATCAAGATCGATTGGCTATTCAGGATGTCATTTGCTTATGATATAGCAAAGGTATGTAACCTTGTAAAATAAGTAAGGTTACGGAATTGACTCATCCACGTTTGTAATTGAAGGGAAATTGTTACTCTTCCTCTTAGATGAGTTTGACATATAATGGCAATTTGTTTTCTTAAGGGAATGATCGCGCTGCATAACAGCCCAATCCACGCTCATGGAAGCCTCAAGTCATCCAAATGTTTGATTGACGGTCGCTGGGTCTGTAAAGTTTCCGATTATGGTTTGGATACAGTCAAAGCCAATCAGACAGAAGAAGATTTAGGAGAACATGCCAAGTACAGAGGTAAGCCTATAAAATCCTTATTCGGTGAATTAAAAATTTTAAATCTATCTTTCCTAACTTAATGTCCTCACTGTATAGATCATTGATATTTACTTGTTCAGAGAATGTTTCTACTGCCAAACTGATATACGACTTCAAGCAATGTTATGTAGTTATGATGATTGACCGATTTCCCAGTAAAGAAGAATTTCAATGACTAATTTTGTGCTTTGTTAAGGATGCATTAGCTGTTGCTATTTTTCCTGATATTGAATTGGCCATACTCTGTCTTAATTTAGCTCGATTTACTTTCTGTTCCCTTGCCTTTTAAATGACTTTTTCTCATTTCACAGATCTTTATTGGACTGCTCCGGAATTGCTACATACTATGGATGGCATTAAAAGTCAATTTACAAAGACTCAAAATGGCGATGTATACAGTTATGGAATCATTCTTCACGAAATTCTTTCTCGGGACGAGCCTTATTTCCAAATGGAACCAAAAGGTACACTCGATCGGAAAATAATATTTCTCTAAATGAAACGAAAAAAATAATTTTCTAGGCATTACATCTATTTCCAAGTTCGTTCACCAGTAAAAGTAGTGCTTTAAATAATTTGATTAGGAGAAACGAAAGGAAATTTTCGACTGAGTATCGGAGGCGAGCGCGAAGTGCGAGTCGCGCGCGGGGGTAGGAAATCAAAGAAAAATAACTTTTCTAGCTCGCTCGGTCTTACCATCGCGCGTGACTCGCACTTCGCGTTCGCCTCGTGCTTGCCTATGTTCGACTGAAAATGCAAAAAAAATTACGCCGGTTCTGCAAGCCAAGACCCAGTTGGCATCGTCTTGCAAAAATATACTGATATCTTATGGTATTTGTTTTGCTTTATTTCTATCAGATGTCTTAGTTAAGCTACGAGAGACTCTTTCTCCACCGTTTAGACCTGAAATACCAAAGGATTTGGAAGAATGTGATAAAAGATATATCCAGCTTATGAAGCAGTGTTGGGACAACGAGCCAGCAGTCAGACCAAATTTCACTGACATAAAACTCCAACTAAGGATCATGAATGGAAGAAAGTTAGTGTTACTGATGGACAAATGCATTAAACATTTGTTAAGTTTGTTGGTAAGAACAAAGAAGTCGTAAACGAGGCGCAGCCGAGTGTGTAACGGATGTTCTTACCACATTTTGGCGTCATCTGCGATGTATTACTGAACAGACGCACGGCAAAGCAAAATGTTGTAATAGTGACGTCAGTTATGCGTCCGTCCTCCAATAGATCATCAGTAAGAACCAATCAAATTGCGCGCGTAATTCAGTTTTTTTACATAAAACAAAACAGATTACCCCTAGCAAAGAAAGGTTGCTGTCGTGATTATTTATTTCATGGAATCTCTGGTTTTCAGAAACACAGACATTGTTGATAGCATGCTACAGATGATGGAGAAATACACAGACCAACTAGAGGAATTAGTCGACCAAAGAACTCGTCAGTTAGAGATCGAAAAAGCCAAAACAGAAGAGCTTCTTTACAAGATGTTACCCAAGTAAGTATGCAAGGCTTTTAAAATTTAAAGGTGTACGATATTATCAACATTTAACTTTGAAAGACATTCTCAAAACACTAACGTCAAGAATGGAAGGCAAGTAATTATTGATGGGTACTTCTGGTAGCTTCATATCCAACTGGGTTTATATTTACTTAATCTTCGTGTAATTTCATTACTGAGAACACTTGTGATGCTTATCATTCAGAGTGTGAAACCCATTAATAGTCAAACTTGGTCATCCTTCTTCCTGTCCACTGAGGTAAAGGAGAACCCTGAAAACGAGGTCTGCTCTCCTGTGCCTTCATTATATATGCAGACCGGCGGGAATGTTCATCACTAAGTAATGTTTTTGGCGGATCGAGATGTCGTTTGTTTTTGTTTTAATAGGTCGATAGCTGACGAACTGAAAACTGGAAAGCCTGTGCAGGCTGAGAGTTTTTCAAGTGTTACAATTTTCTTCAGTGATATAGTTGGGTTCACAAAGGTGGCATCCGAAAGTACACCTTTCCAGGTGAAGCTGAACAGATAATCATCGATAGTCTACCTCATTTGTATTAGTTTATAAATCTGTATAAAAATTAAATCGATTTCATTTCTTTTTTGTGTAAAAAGGCTAGAAATTTACCAAAATTTGTGTGGTAAAATAAAAGTAGAAGCAAGTAAGCTTCGGTAAACTCCCTATAAAATCTTTGCTTTTTCTCTAGAAAGTCCCTGTCTCCAACAAACTCCCTGTTTCGAAGTCGTGGAGATGTTTGTTAGGTCTCCCAGAAATAAATTCAATATGGCAACCTTTGTGCCTTACACAACGACCCTTTTACAGACATGCGCCTCCCATGAAAACAAAATACTTCAGCTTTCCTTTTTAATCTTTTATTCGTCATTAACATTTTTGCAACTCTTTAAAGAGCATGCTGACAACTGTTTCTTAATCGTTCAGGTAGTGAATCTTCTGAATGAGCTCTACACATGTTTTGACAACGTGATTGACAGTTACGACGTTTACAAGGTAAGAAACATCCACTACTTCTACCTTTATCTCAGGTAACTTGTTTTATTATGATGTTAGAACTATTTTTGACTTCTCAAGTCAAGTCCAAGTGCTGTAAGAAGTTACTTCGAAGGAAAATTTTTCTCAAATAGATTCTTACGCATGGAAACTTTAATGGATAGAATGGCTGTGAAGCATATCAGTTTTGGTGAATTTCCCGCTGGGCATTCTTTGCAAAAATAGACAACGTGGAACAACCAAATTTGGCATCCATCGGAGTAGAGGACAGCAATAGCTAAAATTCCAGATTTCGTTTGACATGAAACCTAGTCGTTTAACAATCAGCTGAAAAAATTCTTACACCAATACCAAAACGGTATCGATCGAAATAGCTGCGTGTGACATCCTTTTCAAAAAGAATTGTCAAACAAAAAATATGGAAATTTCAACGACACTTTCACCTCTCTATATTGTTTAAGGTCTCAATTGTTAAATAAATCGCAATTAACTAGGTTGAGACTATTGGTGACGCCTACATGGTAGTGTCTGGCCTTCCTGTTCGCAATGGTGATCGGCATGCTGGGGAAATTGCAACCATGGCACTTAGTTTGTTGAGCTCTGTTAAGGACTTCACTATCCCTCATATGAAAAACAAGAAAGTGCAGCTTCGGATTGGTATCCACACAGGTAAATATTACCACCCCTTCTTATTTAAAAACTAATAAAAACAAACCGCTTATGGTTGCGAATTTTGAGTCTTGCATAATGTGAAGAAACTTCTTTAGTACTTTGTTACACTTTCCATTAGTGATAAAATTAGAGAGCTTAAGAGAGATTCTCCTCTTTAAATTTATCCTTTTATTTCATAGTATTTATCAACTTTATTTTTACGTATACACCCGATTTTATCTTCACCCGTTTAACCACTACAGGGTCATAAACAAAGCAATGTGCAATTTTTATGCTCAGTGAACTGTAAGACATGTTCCGTTAGCATTTTACAAGGTATTCTTACATGAACGATTGAAATCGTGAGACGAAACGAACTGAGTCTACATGACATTTCACTTCCAAGTAATTACTGATCAGTTTCTAGCTTTTAGTTTTCCTTTGGCTCTTTTCTCAAAACGACTACTATTTGCATGGGTTAGTTTCCAAGAGTGTAGATAAAATTTCACGAAAACCATATCATTTAATTTTGATTTCATGGCAAAGGTCCGTGTGTAGCTGGAGTTGTGGGCCTCAAAATGCCTCGCTACTGCTTGTTTGGGGACACTGTAAACTACGCTTCGAGGATGGAGTCAAGTGGACTTGGTGAGTGCACTATTAAGTATTCATTTTTTTGTATGTTTTTAAATAATTTATGTATTTTTTTAAATATTGTGTAGATGTTAACTGACTCATGAGATAACCATAGCGAAGTGATGTTTGTAGCGAAGTTAAAAATCTCCCGCACTCACTCTGCATTCTCGAAAACGGTATTTTGTCGTCCAATAGAAACCATTGTCTGCTTCATCAATCCCTCCAAACATGTCCAGAAACGGCTAGTGTTCATGTGGAAACATTTGCATCCAGCGGATCATTTCTCGGGAAGTTCCTCCCTGCATAAGCTATGTCTGACAGTCCTAAAGCACATGACTTTTCAGCCGTTTTGTCTTCAAAATGGCTGAACAACATCTAATCAGTTATGGTTTTCGAGAAAACCACGAGAGCATATCATTTCGGGGGAGTTTTATCAGCACCTGACTAATTCATTGATGTTATGCTTGACAAGGCATTTAAATTATACAAGATCGATAGAAGTCAGGTATAAAAACGGGTATGGATTTTAGAGGCCTTTCCTGACAACGGGAGTCAAAAATGGCATGTTCTAGTCTAAAATATACGAAATCAGGATTTAAAGAAGAGGTCGGTAAATCTCGGCCACGAATTCTACGCTGTTCCCTTGCCTCACTGTCCCATTTGTCCTTATTTACATCTGATATATACGATGATATTTCACAGCACTTCGAATCCATGTTAGTCCAGATTGTAAAGCTGTGCTAGACACTCTCGGAGGATTCTATTTAGTAGAAAGAGGCCCGGTCACGCTGAAGGTAGGGCATCAATATCGGCTTTCTCCTTATTAGCCATCACTACTACTTTGCATTTTACCTTGTGGTAAAATTTGCACAGATTTACCTTTGAATAAGCTGTAAAGTATCTCCGAAGTGCATATTGGAAACAATTTTGAGAGTATATTCTAGGAATTCATTTTGAAAATTCACCAGTTAGGTTTTTGCCTTTATCACTTGCTTTGCTAATAGGAGCATTGATGTTTTGCAGGGAAAAGGCACAATAGTTAGCTTCTTTCTGTGCGGCAAAGAAGGCTTCGACAAGCCTTTACCTAACCTCGCAGAGGCTGCTTCACTTGAAGAACACGAGTTTAAATGATACTCCTTACAACCTGAATGGGGAAATGGAGTGTACGTGTTAGTAGAGACGTCATGCACTAAGTGTATAAAATGTAATCCAAGTTACATATTTGATACAAGAGCAGAGGTGTGCGTTGAACAACAGTAGCAGTTGTGAAATGTGAATAATGAGCCATAGGGTATAATTATCAAACAAGCCTAAAAAAAGATGTCTCTCTTGACTCGCGTGGTTGGCGAATGTTTGGTTGCCCGATGAAAGTAAAAGCGGCAAAGCGAAGACGAGCAGCAGACATCCAATTTTTTTCGTTCCAGACCTCTTCGTTTTCCTGGTCTCACAGTGTGAAGCTCACTGGACACCGCTTACTACACAGGCTGACCATTCCTTGGAAAATTTAACAACCCTCCACCAGATGATCGTGATTGGAAGACCAGCTTAAACTTTGTCGTTTTTTTTCTATCAAGCGTACACTTACAGTAGCACTACTGTGAACAAGGTCACTGCAAAACTAGCCGATCACACCGCAGGATTGGCTAGATCTCGTTTCATTTAGTATGACCTAATCTTACATGCACTTCACACTGATCACACGATCTACGCAACAGTACGTATCTTCGCTCTTTAAAGCGTGGCAAGTGAGAGGGTAAAGACATAACTCTCAACGTTTTTCCTCTGACAATCACCTGAACAACTTAACTAGGACGATTAATCGCCTAGCCTAATAATTTCCCTGGATTTCGTTTCGGGGATTACCAAAAAAATTCATTCCGCCTTCGGCCAATGAATGATAAGTATGCGTTTCAGATTTACCATCTGTTTCTGTGTTAATAGACGAACAAAGAGGAAGAAATTTTATATTTTTGGGTATGGCTTACGGCAATAGAAAATAATATTTCATTCGATCTTAAGAAGGTCATAAAATGTAATCGAAAGTATTTTAATAACGAGAACTGGATCATATAAAAACCTTTTATTTATTACAAAATACTCTTTAACAACTTTTTGATTTGGTGATCATTGGCCATTGTTGCATTATATTAAGTAAGGTGGAAAGTTCGAACTGCAAGATATAATCAGATGCAATAAAACTCAAGAAACTGATGACTGAATTTAAGTTATAACATACAGAAAGATAGCAACAGAGAAAAACGAAAGCTAAGGGAAGGCATATATGGGCTCGAATTCAATCGATCAGTTACATAAGGAAAAAAAAAAACCAGACTATGAGGCTAGGGGAATTATTGATAAGTCGAACTTTAGTTTGGCCGCAATGTGAGTCATTTTGCATGTGATTACGGGATATTTCCACAATTATCCTATTCTCTGCAACATATCCACAATTTCCTCTTGCAGTCACGTCGTAAAATCGCAATTCATTTTGCTGACATGATATGAAAATTGCACTGTAACTTTCGTCGTCACCAATGACAGGCTTCCTGGCCCTTGCATGCCATCAATCACGTCTTCCGTCCTTTAAATTCTAATAATTCTACGTCATAATTTTCTCTTTTATATACAAGTATGCTCTGGTTCATTCAGGATTCAAAAAAGGAAAACTATTCAAGACTTAAAAAATTCGATCTTTAACTACTATTTCATTTTACAGAGATAAGCTGGTTGTCATTCGAATTAGTACGTCAGTTCTAAAAGAACATCTGCTAATCAGCCTAGTGGTAGATTCTATGTGAAAACCATATTCCTAGGTGCACAGTAGAGATGTTAAATCAGGATCTCAGGAAACATAATTAAAAAAATTAAAGAAAAACCGTACAGTAACATGATGAAAATAAGAAAAAAAAAAAGATTGAAAATGATAAAGTCGACACTGCCCAGTAAGGAAGTTTACGAAAGCAACGTCAGAATCAATCCACTAATTTAACCCTAACTGAATTATGCATGAAGCAAAATCTTTTTCAGCTCTGTTCCAAACTAAAAAAATCATTTGAGACGAGCACGACTGCGCGCAAGTGACAGTTGGCAGTTTTCTGGAGGAAAGAAAAAAAAAATCGCCCACCACTGGGCACATGCTTAATACATTTTCGGTATTTTGGGTCGTCTCACCTTATCATCAATACGTATATTCCTACACTGTTTTCCACATTTTTCCTATGATACTGACGAGAAGAATTTGATTACCACTCAAGAGTCTCATTAATTGGCGGTCAGTTACGTTATTCTCACGACCTTGCTGTTTGCTTCAGCCGAGATGTAACATCAAATTCTCCTGTCTAATATACAAGGATATGTATGACTATCAGTTGGGAGGGTAACCGATTGGATCCGGGGAGTTACAGGGTTAAATAGATTACAACCTCGGAAGAATTCTTCCCTAAGACAGGCAAACACCAAAGAGGTTAGAAAAGAACCAAAGGAATGAGAATTTGCTGAGGATACTGACTCTTATAAAAGATTGTACGAGACGAACATTGAGAAAAATTGAGGGAAAATTTCTCAACATGGACAAACAGTGAAGTAGCTACCTAAAGCAGTTAGAACACTTCCTTCAAGGAGACCACTTCATCTTCCCCCGGAAAAACATATCTCTGTCATAATCTGACGCAAGACCTGAATAGGAGATTACTACTGACGCTCTTACAAACAAATCAAACACATTTCACTTACATTGATACAAAATACGATCAACGATAGGTCGTAATTTAGAATATATTAATAAATATCAAAAATAAATTTGGTATTCTAAAAAAAAAATAGAATAAAGGCAGGTGCAGGGTTAGCTGGCAATAGGGGGAGGGGGGGCCAAATGACAGCATTAGTTTTTTTCCTTGAAAATATTTCTCACGTGTCACTCCTGTATTAACCAACAACACATGAGATGCACTCAATGTAAGTCACGTAGTCTGCCGTTGACTTCATCTTGTCACTGATTGTGGTAATTCACACCAATTTTTCCGTTCTGTTTGTTAAGCTTAAGTTTTCCTGCAGAAATTGTTCTTCTCGTTGTCGCAATGTTTCCGTAACAGCTACAAGCTTTTTGAGCCCCGGCTGAAATAAACACACAAGAATACGTTTTAAATAGACCCTTTCATTTCAGCTCATACGTTGCAAAAAACCAACTTAGAACGTAAACAGCTTGTGAATGACCAACTGGCGGTTGCTTTTAGTTTTGAATCTTATTGGTTGAGAGGATAGAGCGAGTTTGCAAGACCAATCACAGAGCGAAATAAAGCAAAACCAATGCAATCCCGCATTACTCTCGAAACTCAACTGAAATTGCTATAAATGGGAACAAACGTTAAAAACGCCTCCCGTTGGAACTTGAGTACCTATTTATAAGTGCAGACAAGTAAACATTAGCATCACTCCACACAATATTCACCTCATAAAAGAGTGACATGAATCCCTAACCTCCTAATTAAAAGTCTGGCGAACCGTCGGAGCCATTCGACCACGCCCCCCTTCACAATGAGATGCAGAACTTTTACATTTCTAAAAAATCGAGGCGTCCCTTTTTTGAAGGTAACAGACAAAAGGTTAAAGGAGCACTTTTTGAAGTCGGGACCATCGTGTATGTCCTTTGAAGAAAGGTGTTCCCTGAAAAGAGGTGTCCCGCGCAAGAGAGGTTCTACTTTTACTTTAATATATATGATGGAACTATGGGAGTGTGTGATACCCTTTTAGAAGACCTCCATTCCAGGGACATTATATTAACTGTGGTTCCGAGTGTTCAAAAAAAGAAGATTCCTTATGAACTTCGTCAGTTAAGCGGACACTTTTTCTAGCTCCGCGGGAGGTTGGAGCATCCATAATATTACCTGTGTTTGGCTCAGCTGTTGTAGCTCTGACATGTATGTCCAACATATATCGTAAAGAGCGGCAAGATCACGCGATGGATCTGAAGACACTTGCTCCGTGATCGGAGGAGTTTGCGTCACGTTCTGGAAAATTCAATAGAAATATCATGGGGAACGCAATTATTGAACAAGTAATGGCACCGTCGACAGTACAAACATCAGTTTTATATAAAGTAAACCTTAATTATGGTGATATGTGTTTGGTAAAGGGATGGATTTGAACTAACACAGTTGTGAAGTCTGCCAACCTATTATAAGAAGTTAACATTTCATGTTATCAACACGAATTTGGATGAGTCACTTTCATTTTTGTCAGCATTTACTTCTGCGTCATGAACTAGATGGATCTTAACTCTTCATTATTTCTGCTCCGAACTAACAATATACGTTTGACATTTTGAACTAAAAAGAAATAGTAGCGAAAACGTTTTGCCATCGGGTCGGAGATCTACCAATGTTAAATTCGTCCCGCACGTGTAGGGAATTTTTCACAGACAATGTTTACAATTGCGGAGTAATTACGGTAAATTCACTACTTTTCGTCTCCTTAAGCTAACTTCACTCAATTTGAAATGGCAGCATCTCTTTCGCGTTTATTACGTTTACTGGAAGGTTGTTTCTCCTTTCATTTGCGTAAATCTAAGTCTCATTAAATTCAAGCATTTAAATTTAAGTGAACGTTCATTTCCCAGAGCAGAGTAATCGTTTCTTGCAAGAAGCACATGGCCTGTTCCAAACGTTCCGTTTAGTGAAACAAAGCGCGATAGTAGCGGAGGAGGAAAAAGTAGGGAAATATTTGGGTCTGAGCCCTACGCGACCCGATCCAAACCTTTCTCGCTTCGCTCGGCCGCTAATCTCGCTCCGTTTACTAACTGAAGGCCTGGAACAGGCGAAGATACATATAGTGTTAGCCCAGAGTAACAGAAAAGCCATAAAGACTCTTCGAACATACGACGAAACGAAAGCCCCTTAAATACACCATCAATTCCTAGCGTTAACCCCGTCTACTACAAATACGCAACTACTCAACACCCACCCAACTAGTTTGGGGGGTGCCTAAAGTAAATTGACAACATTGTAAATGTGTGATATGGATCTTATTGACTTACCGCCAACTCGTCCAAAAAATTTATCATTTTTTCCTTGTTTCTCAAAATGAAAGGATTTACTGGGGTCATGAATGATTCCTGCAACAGATAAAACATAAAAAGCTCTGTCGGCGAAACAGGTGAAAAAAAGTTCCTGGTATTTTTAGGCGTTACTGACCTTGACGCCAAATTCAACCAAGTTTGCTAAGTTTTGAAGACACTTCGCTACAAGTGTCAGAGTCCGAGCAGCACACAATGACGGAGATTCTGACAAAATAGAAAGCATACGTATGAACGATTACTCCATTTTACGTAAGTTTATGTAATACAAAACAATTTAAAAAAATATATAAAATTTCCGCTCACCTGACATCATGTTGCATATTCTTGGGTTCATTATGGCGGGACAAATTAACCGCAAGAAGAGAAAACCACTGAAGCAGGAAAAAGAGTACAAAGAAAGAAATCGTTTTAGAATAATTTTCTACGCAGGTGGACCTGCGAACTTCATTTTGAGTATAAGTTCAATCAACATCCATCAAACGTTTATTTACGCGCACGATTGGTCTGAATGCGTCACGTGACCGAATATGTCCCAGGTTCCAACCTCAATGTCAATACGAAAAAAGTCTTTGTTTAAAATTTACTTCAAGATGAGAGAGCATTTGTTAAAAAACAAAGTTATTTAACAAGGAGTTTATTGCTAGTAACCATTTCAACTCCATTCTTTGAAGAACGACTCGAAAATGAGTAAACACAATGACACCAACTAACCACTAAGTTTCCACATTGAGCTGCAAATGATTTCTCCATGCAACCAAAAGTCAAAGTTCTACGCATTTTGGAGATCAAACTTGAATAAAAGGAGTCTTTTTTCCCGAAGATACTCAGTTTGGTTGCTGAGGTAGACCGTGCTCGGTTTTATAAAGGGTCAACATTTCTGAATGAAGCAATATGGATGGATAAGGAAAAAAACAGAAAAAAATTCGGACGACGGACAACATGCAGAAGACGATGGTCGAGGACGGTGGACGTTCGACGGTGTATGAGGATAGGCCGATGTACGACGACCGATTTCGGAAAGTCGATGACCGATTGCGAAAGTACGACGACCGATTGCGGAAAGTCGATAGTCGATTGCGGATGGCGAAAGATGGTTGACAAAAAATCCTTTTTTTCCTCTATTTGTATCATTTGCCTCTTAACTGCACATTTTAAAATCATGCACGCCGAAGGCAACGGAAATAAAATTGTGTAGCACTTACCTAACAACACGGCTTCTAACTATTTCATTGTCGGACCATCTATCTTTGACATTTTGCTGCAGACAGCAAAACAGATAACGCAAAGTTCTGCAAAATTAACAGAAAATACTTGATGATGCAGCAAATTCAGATCTACTGTGGTGCCATTCCCGTTAACTATGTTTAACTATTCAAGACCATTATGACATCACACGTTGACTTTGGGAGATGGATTCCTGACAGCTTCGGCGAGATCAAAATGGGCTGATAAGTGATCAACGAGATTTTAGGAGTTTGTAATGCCAAGTGTCTATTATTTTAATTTTTGATATATCTTCTCAAATCTCGACAAAACCTTAGATCTGAAATCACGATCCTTTATTCAAAACCACAACTTAGTGAACATTTTTCTTTACGACTTCGTCAACGGGTTTTACAAACAATGTGCCAAGAGTAACAAGATAGACACTAGAGAGAGAGAGAGTGACAACAAAATGATTTTGTTTCGATGGCAGCTTTCTCACCTTGGACAGTCGTCAGGTGACCTGACAATCGCATCAACCCCTTCAAATAAAAACTCCAGAAGTTGTTTAAGATTTACTACAGTGTCTGCGCCTTTCTCAAGTTTAGCTGGATTTAACTGCAATGCAACGAAAATAGCAAACAATTACTATAAATGCCTTGATCACCACCTGCGATCTTTCCGGCATGAGATAAAACAGAACCTCTCCTTTAGGACACCGGTCATACCTCGCAAGACTGTTTACACTCCACAATTTTTGCTACGACATCACCGATTGTTTTCTGTAGATAGGGAATAGCGACCATTTTCATGTACTGGTCCATGAGTGTCGTGGTTAACGAAGTTCCGCGAAACAACGTTGATACTTCCTCTGCAATCAGCAAAGACAGATCAACTATATCACTGCGATACTCACCCGTAAAATCAGGGAATAGTTGGGAGTTTAAGCAGCGGCTAAAGCCGGCAAAAAGTGAACTTCATTCTGTTAGTCTTCGGTCGTTTTTACAATAAAGTCGGAAACAAATTCATGTTTCCTGTGAACGAGATTTTTCTAGCATTTTTGCAATGCGTTGACGTCAAGATTGTACAAAAAGTGAATAAATTCAGACTTCATTTAGATGTAGCCCCAAAAGATCAAACTCACCTATGACGTTCTGATCCTAATGAATTGACAAAAGATACGACAAGAACGGGAGGGATGAGGCGAGTTGGGCGCGAACCGAATGTTGTTAGATCGCCCCTGAATCTTCAGCACTTTGAAGCATTCTGGTCCAACAAGAAATTTATCACAGCTGACGTTCCTTTTCGTTTGTCGCCATCAAGGAGCATTCATTTTTGGACATTTCTATCTCTTTAAAGGGCTAATATTCGTAGAGGACTCTAATATACAAAAACGCTGTATTTCTATTTCTAATTAATTCATCGTAGCTGACGTTAGTTTTCGTTTGTCGCCATCATGCAGCATTCTTTTTTTGGACATTTTTTACCTCTTTAAAGGGCTAATATTCGAAGAGGACTCACCTTGATTTTCTATTTCTAATGAGTTCATCGTTTTTAGTAGGAAGATTTCTTCCCTTTCATGACGGAATATTTTAAGCAGAGTGGAGGCCAGGCTCACTCGGTCCTTGCACACCTGACCGAGGCTCTTCACAGCTTGTAAATCCTTGTCCAGAATGATCTACAAGAGGTGAACAGGTTACAATGTAAAATGCTACACAGCTACCCAATGGTTCATCTTGTAGGAGCAAACCCTCAACCTCGTGTTGGATATGAAAGCAGGTTTAAAACGAAAGTGATCCGTTTGCTCTCTGTGCAGTGAGCTACAATGAGCTTTTCCGAAAATTCGGAGGCAATATCGACATATCACGAAGATTACTGATTCATATGGCAACTTCTTTTAGGGAAAGACCAATGGATGCCTTGAGCATTCAGCGGTGTTCATCCACAGGCCTTTTTGTTAGTGTATGTATCTTTTTCCTTTTTCCCTTTTTTTTTTAGGCGAGCACAGGGAAGTGTGAGGCGAGCGTGAGGGTGAGACACGCGCGAGGGGAGGAGCGCGAAAATAGGCCGTGACATGACCGCCTATGGCCACCTAAATAAGCAAAAAAATGGCGTCTGTTCCAGGCTATCCTTAAATATTTTAAAAACCACTCTTAAATACTAGCAAGTTTACCATTATCAGCTAAAGACCATCCTTAAATACTAACCAGTTCTATGACTTGAAGCCTTCGTGGGTATATTCGTAAATTAACCTCAACAAACCAAATGCATTGCGGTCCAATGTACGCTAACAATTTGCTTTCAGCAAAGATTGATGCTATAAACATACTCACCTCTTTGAGTGAATTATACTCTTCAACCGGCATAATAATCTCATGCTGAAAAACACAAAGTTCACAGAGTTTCAGTTTTCAAGCTGTTAAGCTTGGGTCGCTTAATATGAATCAGAATTTTCCGGCCAGATTGACCAGAACTGACTGACCATGTCAGTGAATTTCTACACTGTATCCCATGTCATGATTATATTTTCAATCACTATCTTCACTATCAAAAGAAATAAGCGTTCGGGGACCACCTCTTATTTATCACGGGGGGGAATTCTGGGGATCACATGGTTTTCAAGGGGGTCAACCGTCGCAAATAGAGTATGAAAGGGGGAGTATAGAAAATTGACTGAAAAAAACTGGAAGAAACACTACAGCCGCCCCCCCCCCTTCACCCCCCGCGGCGAGAAGAATGACCGGTCTCTTCTTATCAAATTGTCCAATTCAATTACTTCTGGCTTATCAATTCAGGCTCCTGGTAAACACCCTTAAAATTCAACGTCCCGATTTTGGGAGGTATTCTACGTTCGGTCTCTTAACTCCGCCAAGTTAAGAAATCATTTACGTATAGCTGATGGTAAATTTCTCACCGTGAATTTACTCCGGACGCGAATGCTGCCGACCTCCATTTTGGAGTGAGAAGGCGAAAGAAGTGGGTACCACTCATCCAGTACATTTCCTTTGGGTAAACGGTTAAGTGGGACCATTGCACTTCCTGTTGACGACACCAGAACACAACCAATCAAAAATTATCAAAATTAAACTTGGCATCTAAAAGGCTAACGTCTTGTGGAAGTTTATCACACAGTAGGGCACAACTGAACGCAAAAAAAAAAAAATAAAAACAAAAAACAAAAACAGGTTGTCTGCAAATCAGTAAATTAGGCTCGATAAATAAGCCTTCCGTTATTAGGGAGCACGGCACCTACCTACTTGACCATCTCTGGAGCGTTTGTTGCGATTGTAGAGATCAACTGAGTAATAAGACACATCGGAGGGCAAGTCACTAAAATAAAAACAAAATTTTCAATAAAACAGTCATATAATATCTCACAATACGCCGGCAATGCCTAGTACCTTTGTACCTGTGCCATCTAATCAACAGTATTTATGATATAAAGGCGGTTAATTGGTTTTGTAATTCAGGACACACTTCATTAACATCATTTAAAAATTATGGAGTTGGGTATAACAATCTTTTATTGACGATTATATTGAATTCACACTACGCAACATTGCATAAATATACACCATTAAACCTTATTTTTTTCAATAGGAGACCACAGTTACATGTATGCTTAATCATTGCAATAAAACGCCCGGAAAGCATGCGATGACTTAAAATCCAAAATATAATTTTATTAGGCACTCACTTGAACTTAAATTCTTCGTTCCATATGGGCGAATGTCCCTCCTGTGTCTTCGTACGGCAAGTTTTGACTTCGTTCAAGGAAATCATGCAGTAAGGGTGAGAAACTTTGTTGGAATTCAATTTATGGGCCTCTACTATAGTAACTTCCAAGCTTCGTAGCTGCTTCACATCCCTCTCGCCTAGGTTGGTGATCATTGGTTTCCCACAAAACTTCTTAATCGCCTCCATCCAATCCTAAAAATTCAACAAGAAAAAAATTTTTAAATGGCACATCTCAAATGGAAGTGAAAAAAGAATTAAAAAGAAAAAGATCACCAATTAAAATAATACAAACCAGAAGAAAAAACAGGGAAGCAAAAAAAATTATACGTCAAGACAAGAGCGTGATATCTCCACCCGACATTGGTTGTTCGATGAGTGGACAACATTGTCCATTAGGAAAATTTCTATCAATGGATAGCGTAGTTTGTTCTTTACATGGCTCTCTAGTGGATGGCAATTCATCTGGTCGGTAGCAATATGCCTACTTCGGACAACCCTTACGTGAGTGGCACGAAATGCACGCCGCTACTGCCTCCAATTTCGTGAAACAAAGACACCGCACATGGAAAATTTTCTTGAAAACAAACGCTCACAAAATGTTCATCTTACAAACAATGTTACTTCGAAAATCAATTCCAAAATCCAGCAAAATTTTCAAAGTTTCGTCCCAACGGCTTCGACATATACGGAAAAATTATCTACGGAAATAAAATTAAAGAAGAACAAGTAAAGAAAGCCTTACGTTTGCCAGATCCTGTGTGTCGGCGCAAAGGTAGAACATTCGTAACTCATTAAACGCTCGCACCACCACTTGAAAACAATTCGGCCTTTGAGAAAAAGAACCAGAACATAAAAATAAGAGAAATAAATCGATAATTTGAGCCATAACACTCTGCACGACTGTTTGCCTAGTGATATTTACCTTCTGAGACATTACCAGGAAATACCACGGATCATTGCGCAATATTTATTGCACAACCCTTTACGTAACTGTGAATCTAAAATTTCTCAACTTCTGGTCAGTGTTTGCAGAACTATATCACCCCTGCATGACCCGGTGAGTCTCACACAAACCTGAAAAATCAATTCCAAACCCGCTATTTTGCGATACAAAAATTGTCATATCACTGGCGAGAACTCTGGGCCTTAGCTCTTGAAAATTACGTAGTTTTCTTCACATATTTTGATTGGTTCTTAAATATAGGATATCACAGCGCAGACGCCAAGATAATGTTCACAATAGATGTTTGTTCCTGTACGTCAAACGACCGTAGGTTTTACCTTACGGTATGCCCGTTCAGATGACGATCAAAGAAGACAAAAAATGTGATGAGATCATTAGTAATACTTTCGCCTATGGCAAACGTGCTACTTGAAGTTTGTTGGTACCACATTTGGAGATAAACTTTTAATTAAGTTTGAAAATGCATTGGTTAGAGGGCGCACAACGAAAACAGCGAGGCACGAGTGGAAAGCTATAAGGTAACCAGGAAAAAAAATGGATAAAATTATTTCGTTTCTCACCTGCCGAAAAAGCTTTGATGAACCTCGTAAACCATAGAAAAGCTAAGATCCATCATGCCTTTGGGTTTAGTTCTCTGAGAACGGAAAACCAAGGGCGAGTTAGAGAGGATTGAAGAATTTAAAGAGTGATAATCGATATTGAGATTGTACTTTACAAGATCTTATCATTATTATTATCATCATTATTATTACTAACATTATTAAGATCATTAGTATTATTGTCATTATCATTATTATGCCTCAATAAACGTGTTCGTGATTTGTTTCTGAAAATGTAGGTTTCAATGCTTTGGAGTCTAATTCAATTTTTAGTTCTCATAAAGGTGCCGTAATAGCAAAGACTTAATAGCAAATCGAACCGACCATAAAATATAAATCATTGATGATAAAGCTTTAATCTTTCCCCTAATTTGTTTCATTTTTACTCATTGCTTCCGCGACTGACTTAGTTGTTTTTTGTTTTTACTTGTATGTGTTTTGGATTTTTATTCCATAATCCATTTTCATGTCGAATGACAGTTCAGGGTTTTGTTACAAAAATGCGGGAAATATATTCAATTCAGACCTTTTCATTTTCAAAGAAATACAAATGTTGTTCATCTCCATCAAGAACGAAGAACATTCGCTTCCATTTGTTGCGATGCCCTGCAAACGGAGAAAAAAAGAAAAAACATCAAAATCCGCAGTGTGAAAATAAAGACCATACAGGGCCTGTGAGTCATTCAAAAGCCGGTTCAATTTAGGTTCCACAATTGTAATCCAAGTCAGTATTCAGTATCCTTCAGAATATTCGTTTCTTTTGTTTTTATTACTGTAGTCTTTCTAAACATTGTGTAGCTGTTGGGTTCAATGAGACACTGAAATCAAGAAACCATTATTAACTTAACGGATTTTTTTTTATCGTTGAATTGATCGTGCATGTCGTTGCTGAAATTACACCAATAATAGATCGCACTTTCCATCGGTTTACCAGCGTAACAATCCATTTGGGATGTAAAAAGAACTCGAGGAAAGTTCGCAAATCTCTTGCCTCTAGCTCGTGATTTACAACCTTTTCCCAAGTGAGTTATTACGTTGATAAACCGATAGAAAGCGCAGTCCTCTGCTTCCATAAAATAAATTTCAACTTCTCTAGGTGAACCAGTACAATAAACCATAGGATTTTGACCAATCAGGGCGCTCCTAGTATTTCAGTTCCTTCACAAGCTATATTAAATACTGATGACAAACGAAAAACGTTTTGCCGATCCTTTCCATTTTTTTCTTCCTATCCTCTCCTTCACCATCCCAATTAGTCCTAATAATCTTCTTTTTCACAGTAATCGAATCTTTTTGTCTTTACCTTAACAAAATTCTGCTGGAGAAAGATAGTTCATTCAGAGATATATTTAAAAACTCAAGAGATCGAAAATCGTCCGCTCAACAGAAGAGTTGAAAAAGATAAGCGAGAAGAAAGCAATATCCCAATGGTGTGGAGAAAAATAAACAGTGGATCCTGAGCACTGTTACGCACGCGGGTTTACTTAAAGCGCAAGGTACTTCTTCTTTTCTTAATCAAATGGAGGTGCCTATTGGAAAATGACGCTCACTTTTTTTTCAAATTTCAGCCTGGATATCACAATTTCGACAAGTTTGGACATTTTCACACTTTCTTTAAAACCATAAAAACACTTTTGGAAACTTTTCGAGGTATCATTGTTATTGACAATATCTCTCCTACTTAGCCGCACAAGTAGTCAGAATAAGTACCTTTCTTTACTAAAAATCCTCTCTTGAAAGCAGGCTGAGTTCGATTTAAAATGACTGGTCCTGGTGTTTCCGATCTAAGTACAAATGACGAGCCATTTCTACTCGGTGTCATGGGTCTATGTGGAAGATCCCATTCCTGGGCCTGGAACCAAACCAAAATACAATTAACTGGACAGAATTTCAAGGTATGTTAAATTAATCTTCTTATTCCCTCTTCAAACCTCTCCTACGCAGAAAGATCGGTGAGAAACAAGCAGTTTTCTCTTTAGACAATTTGGTTTGTCAATTGAGTCGAGAATGTAAATTGCCCACCGTAAAGGGTTTGTAAAGCTCACGTGTCGAGAGTCCCTCGTCAGCCCTATCAGGCTTTCGCACAAAGCCTTACGAATTGTTTTTTATGTCTTAAAATCATCACGGACCTTGAAGATTCACTCGACAGAAAAAAAGAGAAACATTTCAATGAACTTTTGACTGTAAGTGTATTACGTTGGGCAAGAGGAAGTCGCGCATGCCCGATAAACTTTCAGTGGGGTTCATCTGTCACTCGGCTATGAAGAAACCAATTGCTCAGGATGTCCTTTTTCTTCAGGAAAAGAACTGAACTTTAAATCAGACCCTGCATCTCGTTACAACATCACTCGTGAATCGCACATGAAGAAAACAAAACGAAAAAAAGCAAAAACGTCAATCTATATCTATGCCCTGCTCAGGTGGCACGATCCAAACACTGAATGCTGGTCACTACTGCTAGGGAAACACTCCCAGTTTCTTTGTAAGCAAAATTAACCCAACCGGTAAAACCAAAATAAGAACTGTAAGTCGACATACGGAAACTAACACACGTCACATTTAAATTCAGTTTAACTTTCAATTTTGACGCATTTTTCCTGAATAGACAAAACATCCCAGAGAGTGGGATTATCATAGCAAAATGTTTTCAAGCTAAAAAAAGTCAATCGATGGAGTACAACTAACAAAATACATCAGAAAATCGATCAAAAGTAAAAAAAAACAACAACCAAATGTGGTAAAAAAATTGAAAAAGTATATGACAAATCTCTTCAGAATATACACTTACTCAAACGCTAAGGGATGGGAGGGAAACAACTCTTTCAGAGTAGCTAAGCAAATGGAGGCACCTGGCAATTCACCTGGCAATCCATCTGAAAACATTCCATGGACGCTTCTATCTATCACTGAAACTGCTAAACTGACTTAGTTTTAAACCTTGCTTAAACCACATTTCGCCTCATGAAACTCACAAAAAGTGCTTACAATAACCTGTTCGGTGGTTTCCAAATGGATCACTCGATAAACAAGCGAATAATACTTGACCGCGTGAAAAAAAAAAAAAAAAAAAAAAAAAAAAAAAGAAAAGGAGAAAACTTTTCTTACTCATCTAAACAATGATTTCCTCGTGTAATCTTCTTTCCACATTTCAAGGTCAATAGAATTTTCAGCGACAAAAATTGAAAGAAAGAAAAGCTCACGAAAATGCACCCACATGTTCAGGAAATGCAGAAACAGCTGAAGGATGTGTCAGAGACTCCCACAACAATTCGTAGACAAAACAATCCCACTCGAAAACAGTTCAAAAAACAAAACTTGACCTTATCGAATAGAGTTTATTCGTAAAGGAAAAAAACCAGGACAGTTTTTAAGTATGAAATATAACATAAATTCGATCATTGGTTAATTCAAGACTCCCAAGTCTTTTTCATTATTATCACTTTTCCCAAGCAGACTCTCATTGGCGCTGAAGCACGAGCGGCGATGCCCGTGAGAGGTCTGGCAACAACAATGACAGCCTACGAACACCTAACACACTAGTATTAGTAGTGAGTAAATATTCTGCACATGCAAACGGTTCAGTTGGACATAGCAGGGGAAAAAACTTACCCTGGATACAGGTTCCTTTAACGAAAGATTCTCCACAATGTGCTCGTGCTTGTACCTTGCTACCACAGCATCCACACTAAAACGAAAAGAAAAGTATTCATATACAGATATATATATATATATTTTTTTCCTGAACAAAAACTGTACATCTCCAGCCTCGTTAACAGTTTCAACCCTAGACTGAAGCATTCGGAATGGAGATTGTAATGTTTGGAATATTACTGCATAATTCAATACTAACTATGAGACCGTGTGTATATCCTTTCCCCACGGAAAAACTGTTGTGAGCAATCCCCAGAAAATGTAATAAAAATAGTAAGAAATACAAATGGACCTAATCGTTAATATTCCCAAAAATTTCTCTTTAATCAACTGACATACTGTCAGAATTGTTTTTGTACTATATTAATAGCTCTCTAAATGCATTCATGTACTGCGTTTCTAAACTCACCCGAAATTGCCGCGTTGTCACTTAGCAAAACAGACAAACGCCCTTAAATTACTGCCTGACGTTAAGCTAAGAGTTTCATTAGTAAACGGTTGATTAGACAAAAGTTGATTAGACAAAACTAAATGAGATTAAGGCTGGTACATTGGATGAAAAGCATCACGCAGAAAGAACTCCGAAATACCGTATCCTGCAGGTGCTACACCCCTAATTTGACGTCTGTCCCCTCAAACTCAAACGAAAGGAAAAAAATAGGGAATTTGAAACCGACCCATGTTTCAAGTTAAAATAGTGAGAAGATCAACTTAAGCAAAATATCTTCACTAAGAAAACGTTTTACCTTCATTTCATCGTGACCTTGTTTTGTGTTCGACTTTAAACAACGCTGAAGTTGCTTTGGAACGATGAGGCACAAAAAAAAGTCTTGGAATATTATCTTCGGCTGAATTACTGCCGCTCAAGTTTTAACAGTTGCCCTCGAAGCTTCGCTGATCACAGCCAACTTTAAAAAATCTCTCAAATACATCATCCGATGTAGGGATGTATTTACTAAATCAATCGCAAACAAGATACATTTTCTTATAATTCAAAACGTTCGCTAAAATGTTTTGCTCTATTGAGGTTCTTTCGGCTTGCATTTTGTAAAGCACATAACTAAGACACTATTAGGGCATGGAAATAACCAAAGTAAAGAATAAAATCTCCATTTTAGCCCGAAAATGCACCACAGTTTCCGAAAAAGTGATGATTATGGCAAGTAATCAGCATGCTACATAAATCCAAACCCGTAGTCTTAAATGACAACCAACACCTCAGCAGTCGCAACCTTCAGTTGATAATCTAATCTTAAAATTTTCAGTGACTCCCCAACATTCGACAAACATGGCCTTGATCATATCATCACCACAACGATTCTAAAGTTTACCTGTCAAAATTTCTCCCTCCCATGGAATACTGCATCCCTTGCTTTCTGATCAGGAAGCGAGTGATACCATCTGGTCCTCTATAAAATATTGAAATTTTTTAAAAATACCAAAGAAAAATTTATACACGGCTGTGACAAGTCTAGTTCACACATAAACAACAGAATTCAAGTGCCACTCGTTTAAATGAAGTTCATTTTGGACTGCTGTTTTAACAGTAACTGAACCTTCAGATTTCTCTTTAAGTAAGTTAGTTGAAAAAAGTTTCATTTTTGCTTCGATGTTGATTTTAGCCCTTACACCCTTGCATCAGTATAAATCTTCTCCACACTGCTTTCTTTACGTTTCCAACGATACCAACGAGGAGAATTTGTTTAATAATCAGGAGCTTTTTAAATAGTGATCATTTACTAACCACATTCTCTGATTGAATCAGATACTACAACGAAAATTTTACAACAGTTGCAGTCTGGCTTAAAAGAAGCATATTAATTTGTATTCTTTCTCACCTGAGAGAGAGGGAATAATCTCCTGGAGATTTATCACTTGGCCTTATGAGGAAACTCCCAATAACACCATCTGTAGCATTGAAAACACCAAAACAATTTGGTAGTGCTTAACATCTGGTAGGCAAGTAGATGCGATTGCCTAATGGGTCAAGAAGTCTGGAACCCAGAACCAGCCAACTTGCATTCTATTCTTGTTCAAGACACTTAACCCTTTAACTCCCAGAAGTGATTAACAAGTAACTTCTCATAATAGTATCCATACATTATCCGCCAAATGTACAGCAATTATCCAGCAAATATTCTCACCATTGGTAGTGAGAATATTTAAACTTGTGAGGTATAAGATATTATATTGATCCACCACCAAATTCAAGTCACAATTCTACAAGGAAATGTGTAGCAGCTGGAGGGAAGAATTGACAATCAAATCTTGGGAATTAAAGGGTTAACTCTTACAGTGCCTTTATCCACCCAGGAGTATGAATGGGTATGAGCAAATTATTTACTATAATGTGATAGGTTAAAAATTTGTTTAAGTAGTGGCAGAAGCAAAGTCATTCTAATCAATCATTGTAATGGTTACTTTAACATAGCCTGGGTCTTGGAGGGCAGTTCTTACTCTCAGTTTCTGTATCATTTAACTCCCATTGAGTGACTAAGACAGAATTTCTCCTTATAATATCAATACAACATCAAGCAAACAAGTGATGAGAATAAAGGAAAAGATCAGTCAGAGGATTGTTAGTTGATCCAATACCAACTTCTCCCAACTACCTTAAAATCATAAGAATAGTTTGACAAACAGTAAGGAGAATTACAGACAAGATCTGGGGAGTGAAAGGATTAAGGTTGTTTGGATGGAACTTAAGTCCATCCCAGGTTACCTCCCAGCATTTCACCAGGCTTTCCTGACATTTTGCCGCACCACATTTTTACTCCTAGTTTACAAGAGGCACTGCGAGGGTGAAGTGTATTGGCAACTAAGAAGTAGTATTTAAAAAACAAGTGTGAGGGTTTCATTATGGTATCCAAATATCAAGAAACAAATGAAAGCAGGAGGCCACCTCAGCCAAGTGCTGTTATTTGTTTTGAGATGTTTGGATACCATGATGAACCCTGAAGTACAAGTTTTTTAGATTGCTTCTCAAACTGCCTAATTATATTAATTATCACCTAAATCATAACACTATTGCTACATTCTATTGGTTGCATAATTTTGGACATCATTATCAGCTACCATTCATCTGTTGTCTCTTCGGGGTTTCTTTGAGGAATTCAAAGTGTATGCTTAATTTATGGTAGTTTTGCTCATTTAGATTGTAGCTCCGCGGTTAGTTGGAGCTTGATTATGGCAGAAAGTAATGCAGTTAATTGTTTTACTGTTCCATAAAGTGGTGAAGAGGAAAGTAAACTTCTAAAGGAAAGTGTTCCCTAATGAACCGTTACAGTAGTTTTTCTTATTTGCATTTCATGCTATGCATGAATCTAGATATCCAATAAAAACACATATCCAGATCACCAGTGATCTGGATGTGCAATTTTATTGGATAGCTAGATTCATGCATACAATGAAATATGGATATGCGTTTTTATTGAGTATCTAGATTCATGCATGTGATGAAATACTTTTCCCTCATTGGCTGATAACCTCATGAATAATTAGTGAGTATGAGAACAAAATATAATGACCCAACCAGGGTGTGGATTTTGATTCCAATGTAGTAGGCAAGTGACGACTTACCAAACACACACTTAAAAAAAAAGGAAACGCTAAACATATGTAAATGTGCATCAACCATAACAAAACAGAAATAAAATTAACAGAAGAATTCATAATTAAAGAAGTTACCTCTGTGAAGAATCTCCTGTGCTTCATCTCTTGAAATGTTTGCAAAGAACCACCTTAACATAAAAATTAAATTATACATATTGAAATGATGAGATGAATTATACACACATTTTGAGTGGTTCTTAATTGTGATCTATAGGAGGACAGTCAATAATAATAATAATAATAATAATAATAATAGTCACATAGATGACATCATCAATAACCCAAAACATCAGTATGCATATTCTCCATATTGTTCTCCATACTTTTCCAAAGAGGCTGACAAGGAGAATTTGTTCCACAATCAAGAGCTGCTTTAGTTGGTGATCATTTCCTCCATTCCCATCCCTTTAATGTTTGATTCAGGGGTGATATTGTAAGGAGAAATTAGAAGCTAGTCACTCTTAGGATTTAAAGGGTTAACAGCATTTTTCTGTGTCATGAGTCACTTTTTTGTTCTTAACACATTTCAATGTCATCTGTGATCTATAACTGAACAGATGCACTTGTAACAACATGGAATATTTTTATAAAATAGTTACATTTCAAAATTGCATATAGCCACAATGACAAGATCAACTACCCCTGAAGAGAAAGAACTTACGGCTTTCCTGCACAAGGATCAAGATCTTTTTTCTAGAAAAACAAAAAGAACAGTTTACTTAGCATGCACAAAAAAATCATCACTGGTTTGATGCTCAATAATTGAGTATTTCAACCATACTGTTTGCATTAGGATCTGTTCATTATGTGGTGAACTTACGAAACACTGATTTGAATGAAAATATTATTTTCAAGAATATTTTCAATCAAGTGAAAGTTTTACAATTGATTGCTAATTAAAAAACTCAAGCCCGACTCTCTGTTGCGAGATCACCTTGAGTACCTGACTGTGTCAGGTTTTTAAAGCCAAACTGCTTCTGTAGCTAGAACACTGATATGGTTGACAACTCACCGCATCCTCCACAAGCGCAGCAGGCACCAAACCTGTTTCCCTGTTTTTCTGAGCCGTCACCCAGAGCCAGTCCATGTCAATAACATCATCTACTACAAATACATCTCCCTGGAAAAAACTTAACGTGAAAAAAAAAAAAAAATGGATGAATATTCATGCATTTACTGTGGAAAGCAGGGTGGCTAAGATGAGGCCCCCAGTTCAAGACTTTCTCTCATCATTCTATTCAGTGACACAAATTTGTTCTTTGCTTCCAAACAGTCTACTCAAATTCACCTTCTGCCCATTTTTAATCATCATATATCTCATTTCCATTACTTTTTAACCACCTTTGATTATCTCTTACTACATGTAATGCAGAGGTTTCAAAATGCTTTGAAGTAGGCATCAGACTCAGCAAAGCAGGTGACATTAAAAAGTTCATTGAAGGCCAAAACATAATTATTTTGATGAGAGTAACTGGTGACATGTTATCAAGTAGCCAACAGAACTCCAGCAGTCATGGGCTTGATTTGAAATCCCTGCTAACTATGCTGGAAGTCTGCATTGTAAGTTACAGAGCAAGTTTTTTTTACTCAGATTTATGGCCCAAACACACAATGACATTCCATAACTTACATTACAGACAGCAAACAGGGTTTGTAAGATGTTTGTTGAATCTTTGGGCTCAAATGGAGGAGGAAGATTTCAACTCAAATTAAACTTCAATGGGCCATGCAGCAATATATGGCCTGCTATTAACCAATCATAGGGCATGTACCAACTGAGAGTATAATAATAAAGTGGAGTGCTTGAAAACTAACTGGGGTAGAAAAGTATTAGACAAGCATAAAATTTCAGTGCTGCTTGCAAATTTCAAACCTCTGGTGACCCCCTACCTAAGTTCATCAGTATCTGGTACTTTGCTGTAAGTATACTTGGCTATCACTCTTTTTTTGACAAGAACTGGTTCTGGAGGTGGGACAGGAAACTTTAGGTGTTCATCCTTTAGCAAACAAGACCAAGCTGTGTAGTAACCAATCAGATCATTCAGAGAACAGAACTGTCGTCCTCCAATATAATAGTCTCCACACACGCCTGTTACACGGAAGTGACTGATGCCATTTCGACCAAGGTAAGAAAGAGAATATGTCCCTGGTCGTCGATCACTTTCACGAACAAGGTATGAGCCAACTTGTCCAATGTTTGTGAGTCTCTTTTCAGCATCTGCTCTGTCAAGCTTTCCATGAAACCATCTGAGAAAAACACAAAGAAAATTTAAAGAAAAATAATTATTGACAGTTCCCTTTGGTGTTTCTGAAAAATCCAGTGAAGAATTGCCAACACACTGGTGGTTGAATACGAATCAAGGAGTTACAGCATTTTCAGTTATGAAGATCTCTGACCACCTTCCCAAATTCTCAGTGACATGCAAACATTCTTATAAATAAGTAAGTATGAATGTTTATACACAAGTATAAATTTCTCTCCTTAGTACCTTTAGGGGCTGCTGATGACCAATTATTAATCATTCATAATTTTGTCACAGTTTTGATTAACCTTGTAATTAGCTTATGTTATACTCGAAATGTGGATGAATAAATAACACATAACACTTTTTTTTTCTGTGAATAATTTACGGACGTATAGGAATGGGAACACACTCGGTTAGCAGGTTAGGAAGCTAAAGATTCAAACACAGAAAAGTCGAAACCAAACTACGCGCCATTATAGCAGTGATCTACTGTTTGAGTAGTGCAAGCTGCTGGTGAAAACGAATTATTTCCCAACTGAAAACCTATCCCTTATATGTCAAGCATCACTAAATCGATTATGAATTATCTATTATTATACAGTTTAGAAAATGGAAGTAATTTTCCTTGATTTTTCTCTTGTGAATACCAACTATTAAAGCGCGTTCTATCGTTAAGATTCATCAGGTAACAGCAGGAAATGAAGCATCGGTTCTGATTTCTATTTTCATTACCGCACAGTATCGGTAAAGTTCACTCCTTCAGCCAATAAATAATAAATGTCAATTTAAAAAGTGCAGAATAGTCATGTAAGACCCTTCCTCGATTTTGTGATTTAGGTTTTGTCCGAAAGCCTGAGAATATTTTTCAAAAGTACCTGACAATACAGAATTAGAAACATAAACACTGACAGCTTGACGACATAGCTTATGAATCATGAACTGTATGGGAGAACTTACTTATCGTCCGATGGAGAGTGAATACCAAGGTCTATTTCTTCTTCTTCTTCTGGACACGGGTCTGGGTCGTCTTCAAAATTGTCATCTGGCTCGTTTTCACTTATCAAATTGACTTCAGAGCCAGAGGAACAAAAGCGATCCCTGAACGCCATATTTTCCTCTCTCCTTCTCTTCAGCAGTGCGTGCGGGCTCAAAAACCATTTCGCAATAAATCACGGGGAGGGAGGGGGGAGAGGAGGCGTAACTGTCAAAAATTAACCTTTGCCTCCAGTTCAGAAGCACATTGCGCCATGTACAATTTAGACTTAAAAAATCTGTTTGATGATATCTTTAGTCCTTAGGGCCAGTAACAACGAAATTTCTGCTCGGTTTCTGAAAAAATGTATGGTGGGGGAGGCGAGGGGGTCTGGCTCGGTGTAATTTCCTGGGGTTTCTACGAAAAAGAATCCACAAGATCCATTTTTGTGCTCATATAGAGTACCACGAATCGTTTCCTGCTTCAGCCGTCTTGTTTTTTAATTTTATCTATGAACAATGGAGGTCCGAGATTATGCGTATGACTAAAGTGCAATCCAGCTGTAATCTAACCTACAAATAAACATTTTAGCTGCTCGAAGCCGATGTCTCCGAGAATGGGATTTTTTCCCTTCCCTCTCCGCGAAAAATCTGTAACCCCACCCACTTAAACAGGACGAGTTTGACCTGATGGCTGTAATGAAAGATTTTGATCCCGCTTTCAACAAAATGATTAAATTTCAGAAATACCCTCCAAACTACCGCTGTGTTCATAAACTTCTGTGTAGTCTTTCACTTTGTCAAACGGTGCCATCAGACGTTTACTAGTACTTGCGACTGGCAAACATACATAATGGGAAATTTCATTCTTCAACAGAACTTTCAATGATAAATTATAACCGCTGCTCTGGTGAAAATTGGAAGATAAAATATATCATGAGGAAAACTCCTCGGTAAGTCGTTTTTATTTATGAATTGACCAGTATGCTGGTCGGTTTCAACAAATTTCCTTCAGTCGGAAAACATTTTTTCAATTTAAACGGATAACAGCACCTTTCAAACATGCCATCCTAACAGAAATATGAACACGGGACAGTTGGATTCGCACTAAGTGCGCTCTTGTTTCATATTCAGCAATTCAAGGGAAAAATTATTTTCCTTTGGTTCACACAAAACAATCATTAATTTGTTATTTAGAAGAGATATATATATATATATATATATATAAAATATGTCCTCAGGTGGAGTATCAGCTGCGGCTTATGGCCGATAAATGTTCAATCGTGGACAAAAAGTATGCTAAAACGGAAAAAGGTGACTAAAGTTACTTTATTTATGTCGAGTCTCGAAAGCCGATTGACGGCCTGAGACGAAAATTGTGCGAGGAACTTTCGGTATCTCAGGATATTGAGAATTATAATATCAAAGTAAAATACTATATACAACGAACATGCATGTACAAAATTTCCTAAATTTAGCCATAGGGAAAAAAATAATCAAGATTGTCAAGTATGAAGCTTGAGTCGTTTCCTTAAAGGGCGAGCAATCGGTGCCTCCTGATCATCAGTGTAGGACACCGATATACCGGCTTCTCTATTGTCGGACACATCATCAAATTTTCTCCGATTGCGCTTTGGATAATTTGGAGACACAACGGAACAACCTCCAGTTCGAGGTGAAAGTGCGGGTGAAAGTTTACTGTCAAGAAGTATGGGAGATTCTTGCAAAACTTTGATACTGCTCGCTGATATAGGGGTCTTGTTCACATGTCGACGCATCAGACGAGAGGCTAACATTCCAGGACTCTGAAACACTTCGTCATCTTCCTCGTAGCTGGTGTCGCTGCTTCGAGAAAAATCAACGTTTTTACCCCTAGGTTTTTTACCACTCCCTTTTCTGGTGCGCCTTCCCCCAAAGACAACAGACTTGTGTATTCGTCGCTTCTTGGTCGCAGGTGACTTTTGAGTCTCATTTGAATTCGCTACACTACGGTCAAATTCTTTCTCCATTTCACTAAGCCAGTCATCTGCCTCCTCGGACGACCTAGAGTTGTCCTCAACAAGTGAACAAGATTCATTAGCCGAGCTGAGTTTCACAGAAACTCCACAACAAATCGACATGTGCTTGTTCCCGTTCTTAATAGGAGTCCTTGGGGCACACGACGATCTGTCACGTGCGTCTATTTCACAAGCTTCCCTAGCACGTTTGTCAGCTGGAGAGGCTGAGAAACACCTTTTTCGTTTTTGCTGTCGGAGTATCTGGTTAAGGGGACTCAAGCGCTTGGTTTCAGCCGGTGAATTAGACACACCGTGCGATTTCTTTTTTCCTCTTTTGGGAGGCGGAGTCGAGCTCTGTAGAGCTGGATTCCATGGCAATTGCGCTCCTACAACAGATGCACCGGTCATGCGAAGAAATATTTCATCTTCTTGGAAATTGGCTTGTCTTGCTATACTTTCTGCTCCCTCTGTGGCAGTTGAGTTCTGGAGGCAATGATCATTGTCATTCATTAGCGTATTATCATAGCTAAACGTTTCTGCTCCTCGGCTTTCAATGTCAGTGGATTTGTTATCAGGTATCGGAGATTTTGCTCTCAATCTGCGCTCAATCGTATCAACACGAGCAGACTTTGGGGTGGTTTTTGACGATGACTGGAGTGACTTAATTCTGGCATCGACAGTCACCTTGGCGCTTTCTGAGTCCGAACCAATCGCCACCACCTTTTTTTCTTCTGATGGCAAGTGCACTGGAGATTTTGAAAGGGTCCTCATGGGAGTGAGAAGCACCACACAGTCGTCCAGATGGCAAACTCTTACCGGGGTGGTAGGATCCGTCAAATTAGTTCGAGTCGACTTTGGAGAGACCGTAACAGTGGGTTTTAAGTCTTTTCGGTTGCATAAAGATTGCTCTAACGTTTGTTGACAAGTCTCATTGCTGTCACGCTTGCATAGCAATCCCGGACAGCTACGGATAGTGGGTTTGATGTTGTTCTTTGCAGGCGTTTTTACATTTTCGTCGACACCCTGAACAGAGTCCTCCAGTTTGGTGAATTCTTTTCCATTTCGATGTGGATGGCGAGGAGAAAACGGAGAAAGTTCTGCGAGAACCGCTGGAGAAACATGCAAGGGGGACTTCATAGATTTACGAATTGGTGTAAGACGAATAACGCATTCTTCCATAAAGTAATCCTTTGATGGAGTTTGTTTTACATGCTGCGCCAGAGTAAATTTGGGAGAAGTCACCATGTTGTCTGAACAATTATCAGATTTTTCTTTCGTGGGCGTTTTCATAGAGCGTTTTTGCGAGAGAGCATCCAAACAATTACCATTTCTTATTGGAGAAGTACAGTTTTTACTATCAAATGACCTGGATCTCCTGCCAAGCGGCTTAGACTTTCTTTTCTCAGGAGACAGAAGTACAACTCTGGCATTAAAGCGCTGTTTGATAAGTCTTGGGGAGGACCCATGCGATGTTGGAGCTGTAACTCGGACATCCGAAATGTTATCTGATTTCTCTTTCCTCGGGGTTTTCATGAACTCCTTTGAATTCGCGTCCAAGGGAGTGTCCTTTTGTGGCGGTTGTGTATTCTCAGATAAGCTGGGCTTTTTAGTGAGGGGAATGACTTTTCGTTCCTCATGGGCTTCTGGAAAGGGAACGGACGAAAATCCAATACAGGAAAATGAGCGCTTTTTAAAGAGCCTTGGTGAGGACCTTGTGGCTGTAGACGTGAATTTATGTTTGGGTGTTGTTGGATTCTGGTGACTTAAGGTATTTTCCTTCTTTCGATCACATTCTTTAGATGTGGTCAGTAAACTGTGTAACGAAAACTTCTTTTTCTGCCGTGGAGAAAATCGCAATGGCGAAAGAGCTGGAGAGGACAACCTCTGAGTTGCCTTTTTCACAACGGCTCCCTGAGTAGAAATAGAATCCAATCCCTCTGTAGGTCCTTTCTGTGGCGAGTCACGGGAGTACACTCCACTAAAGGACCTAGTCCTTGTCAAAGGGCCTGTACTAGCAGAGCGCCCATAGAATGACTGACTCCGCTGGAAAGTTGCCAGCGGAGGCTTTCGTGGACTTCTTCGAGGGAGACCTTCTCCTGCAAAGAGTTGTATTTCAGTTAAAAAACCATAACTATATGACGCCGCGGCGTTTATTTAATTTTCAGAGTTTCTGATGCAGGGTTTTTTCAAAAGTATATTTCCTAAATTAAAGACAAAAATTTCGGAAAATCGTTATAAACATTACGTAACACCGAAGCTCGTGTAAAGTTGCAAAATCTCGTTTTTTCGACAGAAATATCCAAGGATTGTGTAGATTACCGTACTTTATATTCTCTTTTATCATAAACCTCGAAATAACGCCACATTTCTCAAATTAAGCGCGGCGTTTACTGCTAATTTCCGCTGTGCAGAGATGAAAAGAATTACGTGGCGCCTCAAGAATATTTCAAAATCTTAACATTGCGGATAGATGTAATTTTGCACGTAGCAGTCAACACCTCAAAATATTGCTTTGAAGTACTTTTAAGACAATTTACCTGCTTTTAACTCTTTAAGGGGTGACTCTTCTAAAATATGCACCTCTGTATGAGCTCTAGAACGTTTTCTGGAATCAGAGAACATAGAACGTTCAGGGAAAAATTAAATTTCCATAGTAAACTACACAATGTCGATGCTGAGTTCCCGAATAAATAGATTTCGATCATGAGTTTTTGAAATCAAGACTGTAGAAAACAGTTTGATTATGTTTCTAAAAATCAAAGAAGACAATACTCAAAATAAATCCAAACATATGGATGTTGCTTTTTGTTTATTTACCTTTTTGGCCCGTTTTTAAACATTCTACCCAATGTTTCCGTACCAAAGGGAGGTAAGATTGTCAAGCGGTTTAAGTCATTTATTTCTGCTCGGTGGGCCTGGGTTCAAATTCTGCTCTGTCTTATATTACTGGGTTTGATTTGGGTCGTTCGGAGTTCAGCTCTTTAGTCATGCTTCGTGTTTCTTACTTATTATGTGGGTCATCATTTAAAAACTACTGGGTCACTTGTAATTGAGTCACGCTCGATAAGCATTTTTTCTTTTATCTTTGTTCACCAAAGAGAGAAGGGAGTATGGGACATTCCGCGTATGATCTGAGTCGTACCAGA